GTCAACTAATCTTTTGGGTAGATACACTAGTTTTTATATAATTTTGTATTATAGCAGTGACAGTTTGGATTGAAACCACTGTGGCAGACCCAAGTCTTGTGTGAACAGCGGCCACCAGGAACGTGACAGTTATCTAGTATACATTAAATGGGTTAAACACGTGTTCCTGGTCCCACGTCAAACTCGGGGTTAGTGTGTGAATGTGGTATTAGTTCCAGTGATCATACGAGGTCTCGGTGGATCCCGTTCAGCACATGGCCCTCAGGGTTGGAAGTAGTGCCATAGAGCTGGGGGTGTACAAGCCCTAAGCCCAGGGCTCATTACCACAATGCCCCATTATAGCCTGTGGATTAAGGTTGTGATTAAACACAAACCTCATTTCCCCATCCAGAGGCCAAATCAAAACAGCCTGCATACAATTCCTGCATTATTCCCCTCGGTTTGCCCCCCTCTGTCACTTTGCATGCTAAGGCTGTCTTTGTGGGTACAACAACATTTGAAATATATTATTTTTGCTCCACAGTTGATCCATTTTTATTACTACTGATTTATTGTATATTTTTGGGCATAATTATGCTTATCTGTTTTATACGATCAGAATACATGGGCTCTGGGCAGGTTTATCCTTTATGCTGTAATCCAAAGTTTCTTTCCACATTAAGAATCCGCTTCTTTTGTCTCGAAAACAGAAAAACCAGAACAGGTTTTGTAAGGCAGAGCAACAGCTAAAACACAGTCAGTAACTTGCTTGGTCTTTCTGTTGAGGCATTTGGTTTCCCCTGCCTGCTGGTACATGAAAGGTCAGTGTCAAATTCAGTAACACAAGTGGATTATTGTGTCCTTAGAGCCATCTCAGTTAAATAACTACAATATGACATCAGAAAAGCTTTTTTGTGGTTTCAGAGACACTGTGATCAAGCAGGACATTTTCTACTAATGTCTGTCGCTGACTGGCCATTAAACCATTAAATTTGCAAAATAAATTGACAAGAAATTCCCCAAAAACCAACCAGCGATGGACTGATAGCTGAGATATTCGTCCAATAGCCCAACCGTAAATTCCCATCAGCTTCAGTTGTACTTTGTGATTAGTACTAACATTAACCAGTCATTCCAGGAAGTTGTGATGGCAAAAATTCACACAAATTCTAACAATCCCTGTGAATTCTTCGCAACCTTGCAATCTTATCCCAATGCTGCAACTTTTCTAAATTTGACATTGTAGTAGAGTTCCACCGTTCATAGCAGTCTCCCACGCAAAACGTTGGGCCATACGTCACCAAACAACTGCAGAGTTCATTCTTACTGGAACAAGTTGCCTTAGATTTTTAATGAATTATATAAAAAAGTATAGATATAAATATAAAGTATTTTTGCAATCTTTCACATTCTTCAATTTTATTTATAAACATTACAACATGCATCTCAATTTTTTTTAAACACTGCCATGAAATCAGGCATTTTAGGCCACACAATCCCCCAAAAACTAAACACAGTAAACATTATATCTGCTAAACATTAACATGCTAGCATTGTCTTTGTTAGCACTATGTAAGTGTGCAGATGGGACCATTGTTGAGATCAACTTAGTATAGTCCAAGACCAGGTGAGTTGAAGTTAAAATGAGAATATAAGAAATGCTTATAGAGCACTGTCCTTTACATGATACATTGGGGAACTAACAACCAGTGCAGTGAATTTTGTGAGGGTGTAAGAAAGCAGCTCTACCAAATAACTCAGGATATGTGTCAATGGATTCTCTGAAATCAGAGCCAGTCCCTGTGAGTTGCTGACCTGGTTTCAAGACCCGAAGGTATTTACACAGCTTTGGTTACTCTCTGAGTGTGACTTTGGTTCACATAGGTATTTCATTTTATGGCAAGCTGGCTTGTGTTCTCACAAGTTCTTTTTGTATCATTCATTTTGTGTCCATCTGTGTTATAAGCAAATCGGATATTTTGTCTTTGATGTAGCTCTTCTGTACTCGAGTCAGCCACCATATGCATGTGCAAATGTGCAAAACATGGATCCAAAGTGTATAGAAGAACAACCACATAAGAGTCACAACAGATAATGTAGTCAAAAAACATATCCAATAATATATATTATATCTATATAACATAATACTATATCTTTCTGGAGGTGAAGTACAGTAAGAGTAATGACAGCCTGTACAACAGAATAATTCATTCGGTGGGTGGGATTCACTGCAGATTGTTTCAGTTCTGTCTCCCTCCCAACCGAAACACCCTACAGACATGGAGGCTCGTCTAAAGGGAGAGATTGATTATGGATAGTCTGTGATGGGTCAGCAAATGACACAGTGGCAATGGGAGTGGGTAAAGCCAATGAACCAGTTACAAAGAATGCTTGAATGATGCAGAACAGTATGCAGCAATAACCACGATGGAAGTCCTCCATTATCCAGCTGTCTCACTGCTAACTTCCATTTGGCCTTCAGCCACTGTTAAAGCCAGGGGCTCACTGATAAATGAAAAGACAACCACAGAAGTTTCCATGCTGTTCCTTTGAAGCTGGTACAAAATAAATTCATTTTAAATAGGGACATCTAATTGCTGCATTTCTGTGAGTGTTTGTTGTTCCCATTGGAGTCACATTGTATTATTGTTTCATTTGAGAGCGCTCTTACATATGGTAAATGGTAAATGGACCTGTACTTGTATAGCGCCTTTCTAGTCTTACAACCACTCAAAGCGTTTTTACACTACATGCCACATTCATCCTTTCACACTCATTCACTCAGTGATGGCAAAGTCCATTGAACAGAAACTAACACATTCACACACACCGATGCACAGCATCGGGAGCAATTCGGGGTTCAGTATCTTGCTCAAGGATACTGCGACATGTGGTGGGAGGAGCTGGGGATCGAACAAACAACCTCCCGATTAGTGGACGACCTGCTCTGAGCCACAGCCGCCGCATATGGTGATCAACAATAATAATGACATTGCTTTACAATTCTAGCTTAAAGAATTGCTTGCACTGTTGGTGGAAGTTGCTGGGTGTGTGGGTGAAACGGATAATCAGTCTTGTACTTTGACACATTTTTAATGTCTACTAAGGAAAAAAAATCCTTAGTGTTAATAACTAATTCAACATACTTTTAATGGTGGCAGTTTTCCAAAATGTAAACAAATATAGGCTAAAAAAAAAATGGAGATGAAGTTGTAGCCTGCAGCATAACTCACTGAATCCACAGCAACATTTTATTTCTTCAACCTCAAAGCATTACGGGAACTGTAATTCTGAAATTTAGGCTAGATAAAAAATCAGTGGATCACCACAGTAGCCTAGTGGTGTTCATCCTCTGGCAATTTTATTTACAAAATTTCTAATAATAGATATTTCACAGTGGATCAAAGTGTTGGACCAGGGTTCCCACACATCCTGGAAAACATGAAAAACATGGACGTTTAGTGACTAGTTTTCCAGTCATGGAAACACCTGGAAATATATTAAAATGTCCAAATATCCTGGAAATAATCTATTTTGTAATTGTATTTTAGCTGCCCGTCACTCAGATTGCCTACATATGTTGTTTGAAACTTGACTGTTGGTAGGAACGTTATGGCCGTCAAAGCAGGTTTACCAGACGTGGGACAAACTTGCAGCAATCTTTTTGGTTTGCAGCAACTTTCTACTTATTAATTTGAACTGTTACCCATGGACTGTGGCCAAAGAAATGTTTGGCTGTAGTAAACTGTAGTAAATTCACTGGAAAGTAGGCAGTGGAATACATGGCAAATTAACATGGCACGTCTCATAAACGCTGACCAGCTACCTGTTATTAAGCTGTGACACTTCATCATGAACCGGCATCATTAAAAACAGAGACATAAAACTGGGGTTAAATAGGTCTACTGGTAGATTATATTACCAATTGTGAGCAATAGTTGTCCTCTATTGTCAAGAAAACTCCTGGAAAATGATTTCTTCAAAAGAGTGGCAACCCTGAATGCCATCTCTGTTTCTTTGAAATTGAATTCTCCATGCTTGTTATTTCAGATTCATTTGTCCATTCAGGCTGTATTAAGAAAGATGTTTGATTTTTTTACAGTCAAATATGATTAACAAAATCAGACAAAGAGCTAATCAGCTCATGTTGTTAAGAGGATTACACACAGCCTGATGCCAGTCATCTACCATTTAAAATCACATACAGTATTTTATACTGTATGCACACGGCTGCTGACTCATATCTACACTGTGTGGAGTTAATACATATTGTTACTGAGAAACACAGATGTTTTTTTTTTTATGTGATGTCTCCTGTAAATAAATATACACACACTATCCAACAATACAACTGTATTAACACTTTTTACTTAAATCCCGGCAATACTGGCATATTAAATGAGACATTTATCAGTTGCTGGATGTCTAATTTTAGGTTTTAATTACTCTGTGTCTTTTATGTGTAATGTGTATCCATGCTGTAAATGAATTAATTCACAATACTCTAAGGGGTTTTGCATAAAAGCCTCCAAATGGCGTGTATTTCATTACCCATCTCATTATTCCATGTCGTTTTTGGCCGCAACACAGGATTATTTCCAAGGGAATGTACTTGATTAATCTTCATACATGTCTCCGTGTTTGAGAACAGAGGAGAACAGTTTAGGCTTATGTACAATTTTATTTTTCCACGCATTTCTGTCACCTAAAGAAATATTGTTGTATTGGAAAGCCTCGTTGTAAATGTTGTCTTTATGTATGGGCCACCACACTGAAGTCCCTTATTACAATTTTCCAAATTAAAATTCTTTCAGGGGAACACTCATCTGTTCATGTTCTTGTCAGTCTGGGTTGTTATTTCATCAGTATTACATGAGCACAAATTTCATGAAAACTCGCTGTACTTATAAACAAAAGTTGCATTAGATAAAAAACGTTGTCAGATCTAATGATGCACGCCATGTCTGATTTTGGTATGACCCCAGTCCGAATTCTTCACGCATTTCTGTTGTGTCTTCCAGCTGTTACGAGAACTGAAACACCCAAATGTGATCGCCCTGCAGAAAGTGTTCCTGTCCCACAGTGACAGAAAGGTTTGGCTCCTCTTCGACTACGCCGAACACGACCTTTGGGTGAGTCTTTTTGAGCCACCGCTACATGTAACAGTACATGTGTGTACATGAAGTCCTGTGTGACAGAAAAACATTATTTCCTTCACTAACTTCCACAGAAAAAGTTTCCTGATTTCCAGATTAATTATTTGGCTGTATATACTTGAATTAGTGGTGTATTTGTGAAAATAAAATTTCAGTACTAACAGACATTTACCCTTTATTTACCTGCACATTCTCTGTGCTGTGTATAGCTCACTTAAACCTAGAATGCAAAAATTGTGTCAAATGCACCTTTAGACCATCCACTTAACTTTAGGTTCAACCAGAGAAACCACCATGAAACATGTTAGTTATGTGTTTGCATGGATCACTGAGGTAATGTTTGAGCAGTGAGGAAGATTAGAACCATCAATATTTGCATATAATGGTATATCCACACACTAACTTCAGAGTTTCTATTTTTTATTTATTCAATTAAATTTTACTTTATTGGCAAGTCAATATTGCCAAGGCATTAAGAAATTATAAAGTTTTAAAAAAAGAGTTATAACTCATAAAATCTGAGATAATTAAATATGAGAAAACACAAACTTTGCTCTGTGTGTTCATGTATGTTTATGTATGTTTGTCAGAGACCGTGGAAGTGTGTTGAAGTTGTTATTCCTGAATAAACCCTGTGTTGCCTGCCTCCAGACTTTTTCTGTTTAAAATCTTTCCATTATACCATACCATGTTGGCCAAACAACGCCAGCCAGCATCCAGTTATCTGCCAACAATCTGCCAATACAGCTGCATTTCCACTGCCTGGTACAGGCTTTTCATTATGGTTAGTACCTGGTACCTTTTTTGCTACCACCTCTGTAGAGGTTCCAAGTTTGTTAAGCTCATACTAACATGCAACATTAAAACATTGCTGACCACTGATTAGTCATATGACATAAGACATCATGCACAAACCCCACATTTTTAAATAGCCAGTGCAGTCCTCTGTTGTAAGAGTAGCCGCTCCTTTTGTGTGCGTAGTCTGGGGGAGTTGTAGTTTGTCAGTGATTAAAGGCTGCAGTTTCTCTGGACCAAAGTAGAGCTGTTTCTGGTTGTTTCCCAACTTCTGGAATAGCTTCACTATGACAATCAGCTCCGCCTACGTTGTGATAAACGAAGTAGAGGTACCAAAAGCAAGTAGAGTCGAGCCGTACCATGTAGTGGATTCCTTAAAATGGTCATATTGACCAAAACTCAGGTACCTAGCCAGGACTTGGAAATACTATTCTCTTCTACAAATGGCCCCATTTGTCATCCTGATGGTGATGATTTTGCACCCTGATAAACTGTAAACCAATAAGGTTGCAAAATGAAATTACAAATCACATAAATCCCAGCATTATAGCTTTACCTAATTTTCGAGACACCACCAAGGTGTGGAGAAGTTGTTTTCTTGTAAACCATGTAGCTACACTGTCAGAACTGGCGAGACATGCTCCACTCCACAAGCACAACTGAGGTGAAACCTTTCTCTGCCTCGCAGCACATCATCAAGTTCCACCGCGCCTCTAAGGCCAACAAGAAGCCCATGCAGCTGCCCCGAGGGATGGTGAAGTCTCTCCTGTATCAGATTCTGGATGGGATCCATTACCTCCATGCCAACTGGGTGCTCCACAGGGATCTGGTGAGCAGCTATATTAGCTTCACTGCTCCAGTTTCCCTTTGCAGACACACACCAGCTCCAGCACACACACACTTCATCTGGGAGCCGTTTCCAAAAGCAACACTGTGTACGTCACAGAAACACTAGTTACCCAGGAGGGGCAGAAGTTTCCTTGTAGCAGGCACAACTGGATATAAATGGAGACTTGGGAATAAAAATAACTAAAAATACAACGACCAGGCCACAAAAGGGAAAAAATTTGGGTTCAGATCAATTTTTTGGTTTTTGTGAGTTTATTAAGGTAGAATTGTCTAGATTAGTGTAGGGGGTCTCTCTTAAAAACAAGTTTTTTTTACATGAAGTCTGGGTCTCAATAGTTAGTTTAACATGTACTGCGTGCATTACGTACAAATTAAAGAGCTCCCTTCAGAAACCTATCTGTAACAGAGCTGCTGTAAGTCGAGGGAAATGAATTGCCAACTATATTGATAATCGATTAATAAGTAATTTTTCAAGCAGAAATGTCAAACATTTGCTCCTTCCAGCTTCTTAAATGTGAGGATTTCTTGCTTTCCTTTGTCATTTCAAATTCATAATGATGAAGACGTCACTTTGGGCTCTGGGAAATTGTGATGAGCATTTTTCACATTTTAAAGACTGAGATTAATCGATAATGAAAATAATTGTCTGTTTGCTTATATCCACTGACTGTTAGCTTTAGCACTGCTTTCACAAGTTAGGTCACAAGTTAGCTAGGTTGCTAATTTAGCGCAAAGATATTCTTATCTTCTTTGCCTAATTTTATTTTCTGTATGTTTACGTTCTTGCACTCAGGAGTGTGCTAAAGATTTGCACTGCCATGGTAATATTAGCTTGTTGTCTGTAAATCTATTGGTCAATAAAGAATAAAAAATGATAGAATAGAATTTAGCGCAAAGCAGCTCAGCTTTTGTCTAGCATAAGCTGCTACTTATGCTAATGTTAGCTTCTTTTTCGTTTAGATGCAAATCAGGTGTTTATATGAAAAAAGTGGTGGTAAGCCAAAGAAATAAATAATTAGCCCACAACACAGAATTATTTTCCCATCAGAAACTTCTCTTGATATCTCACAATCTGACACTAGCTGTAAACCTAACCTAACCTAAAAAAAGGCATTGTTCTGTTAAGATACACGTGGTCTGCCTCTGCCACACTGATCCATTCCAACAAGCAGAGTTGTGTTATATCTGCGGAGGTGTTGTTATGTCTCAGTGTGCTGTGTTATTATGAATGTGATTGTCTGGAGCAGTTTGGTTGTGACGCCTGTGGAGCAGAACGTCCTGCACTCTGAATGTTGTCTGACTCTCGTCCACCCTTTAACCTGGCTGCAACACACTGCTGGTTCCTGTGAGATCCTCTCCACCTCTGTTTTCCCACAGTGCTTTGGTTAGAGAGAGATCTCGCTCTCTGTAGCTGGGAGTCAGACTGGAGCCAGAACACAGGGCTTCTCATTGTGTGTCTTAAAATCTCTGTTAAGATGGCAGAATGACAGGAATGAAATCAAAATGGTTGCATGTTCACAGGAAAAATGTGTCCATTTTGCAATGTAGCAATGTAGCATTTGGCTGTGCTGTTGTTACACAGTTTCAAAAATAGCTATGCTACCCGAATGCATAAGGGAATGTAGTCAAACTGGTGGCGTAGCGTCTCCCAGCACCGCATATAGGCAGCTTGAACAATGACACACCCTAAGACTGCTTGGAGAAACTAAAATGAATAAATTCATAAAGATAAGTCAACTGTCTGAGTCACACTTAAACACTAAAAATATATATGTGATACACTCATCATGTTAGAGAGGATTCATACCTAAGTGCCACTGAACCAGTGCTTCTTGTTTCTGGCTTGCCTACAGCTACAGTAAAGCAGCTGCTTGTATCAAGATAATGACAACTGTTAACATACTTATTTTTATTACAGCACAGAAAAAGTGTGATTTGAGTGTACAATTAAGCCCCTTTTATGCTGGACAAAAACACCACTAACATCTGGCGCTTGTCTTCAGTAGGAAAAAGATACAACTGGCATGATTTCAAGATCAAATGACTCTGCTGTAGTCACGGGTATTTATTGGCTCCAGGTCCAATCAGCAGCTCGTTTTCCGTCACGATGCTATGATGCGCATTGAAGTTCTGCATTATTTATTGTTTTTTACAGTCTATGGGAACAATGTGCAACAGCGATTTTGTACTCAGATGCAATACTGGCAAGACAGAGGTGAGAGAACTTCTTCTGATTCCATGGAAGAGGAAATAAGGTGACAGGTCACTGACACTTTATCCGCTTAAACCTGGAAAGCTGACACAGTAGTGAGGAGACAGGATGGCAATGCGAGACTACTGGCACTGTGAGAGACAGTGAGATAGACAACAACATATCAAAAATGCTGAGTGAAAGAGGCAATGCTTGCAGCTCAAAGCAAGTGACAAATGCTGCATTATACTGTTTACTAACCCTGTTGTCTTTGAATGTGACATATTGGACTGTTGCCTATTTTGGGTATTTTCCTGCATTTAAAAAAACTGACAATATTTGCTAATTTTGGTGGGTTAGAGCCTTATACGACTAGGCCACCAATTTAGAGTCGCTAAAAAAAAACTAAAATTACAGAATTGAAGCAATGTTCTTTCTCTCTGTCTCATATCTGACTGTGTACTGTAAACTCCCACAGCCATCTGTATGTGTCTTCCATCTCTCCCTGCATCTGTCACTCCCCAGCGAGGAACATTTGGGCCTTTGGTTGTGAAGAAAAAAAAGTATAATTAACCAAACACATCAGATTATGTGGCAAAACTTTAATTTGATTTCCACCACCACTGCTTTGACGTCAGACAATCTGGAGGCTATCTCCAGATAATGCTCATGAGAGAATGAATGAGTGAGATTATACAGTCTCACTGACATGTAGCTAAGCTTTTGTTTGAATTCTCTGAATACTCTTTAGTGGATAAAGTGTGTTCAGAAGTCAGAGGGCAGAGCAGTAAGACGTCTATCTGTCTTCACTGAATCCAGCCAGCCACTCTTGCGTAATCCCCGGCAATCCTCGATGGTCATGTGGTGGCTGGACATCACATTATGTAAACCAGCAGGGATCAGGGAGCGCACTCAGTCTTTCACACTCCATCTCTCACTGGTGACTTGGAACAATCCATGGTGAAACTCTGCAGGCATTAAAAGGTCTGTCTCTTTGCCAGCGTCTGTCTGAGCTTTTTTGATTCCATTGCAGTCGCTGTGTTTCGGCGCCAAGAAGGTCTATTGTTGAGCTGAAATGACAATGTGTCCATTAAAAATGTGCTGACTCTCTGCTTTGAGGGATTCAGTAAGCAAGTCATTCCCAGAATCTGACGTCAGAAAGTAAGTCCACTAAATGCTTAATGTCAGACACTTTGTAGTCCTGTCGCACAAGTTAATCTCACACTACTCTCACTTGTTTATTCAGGCCTCCAGACTAATGTTTTACATTGGTTGCACTGAAGCAAAGAATTTCTTCACTTACTGGCGTCAGCGCAGAATTTGGCCACATCCAATAAGGGCGCCCCGATCAGGATTTCTAGAGCCAATCGCCAATCACTGGAAGCAGTATTGACCAATTCTGATTACAGGATCTATTTGAAGCCCTCTAATCATCATGTAGAATTATTAATTGATTTAACTATTCTTAGCAACAATTTATATTAGGTATTAAAATTAGGAGATGAGAAAGTATGACTTGACAACTGTTCATCCTGACAGAAGTACATGAGACAGATAATCTGTGAAAAAAATCAGGTTCTGAACAAAAACAACCAATCAGAGCTGAGAAAGATATAAAGATGCTTTGGGTTGGAAGCTTGAAGAAGTTGATTGTTGAGTCTCTCAAGTGTCAAGTGTCTGTACTTGACGCCCTGGGAATGACACTCAGCAATCGACTATCTGTCTTCGCTCTGACTGGTTGTTTTCGTTCAGGCCCGGTGGATTCTTGCAAATGCGATTAGGAGCAGGAACTAGTGAAAGTTTCAGCAAATATGCCAAAAAGTTATTTTTATAAAAGTTACCTACTGCAGCTTTAAACTATAACAGCCTCCAGTGGTTATTAGAAGAGTATTTGAGCATAACAAATATCTTTCAATGAATAAAGAACTGACCGGTGAAGCCAAAGTAGAGAAATTGTGTGTTTTGTGACATCTGATTGGCCTTTATAGAGACCAGCGATCAAATAATTTAACAAATATCGGTATAATGATCCCTGGCCTATCAATCGGTGAAACCTTAACATCCAAGTTAACAATTATCACATATTTTCCCCTTTAGGCTGTAGGCCAAAATGAGCAACCAGTTTAACATGCAGTGGTCATCACATTATCTTTATCCAGAGCTCAAATTAACTTAGTTCATTTGCTTGTTTTATCCAACCAACAGACTCCAAAGATATAGTTTACTAGAGGATCAGAAAATATTCATATGAGAATCTTTGAACCTTCCTCATCTCTTCTTAAAATATGATTTAAATGATCAACTGTCAAAAATGTCAAGTATTAAACTAAATACATTTTCTGTGAACACCCTGGTGGCTCGCCTGGTAGAGCTGGCGCCCCATTTACCAGGGCTGGATCCTTGCTGCAGAGGCCATGGAGTCAGATCTGACCTGTGGCCCTTTGCTGCATCTCATCCCCCCTCTCTCTCTCTCTCTCTCTCTCTCTCTCTCTCTCTCTCTCTCTCTCTCTCTCTCTCTCTCTCCCCCCCCCTCTCTCTCTCTCTCCCTTTTCTGTCCATCTCTCAAGACTGTCCTGACAAATAAAGCCAAAAAGCAGCAAGAAGGTAAAAAAATGTCTTCTGTGGAAAAGGTTTTTAAATTAATTTAAATTCCATCTGAATGAAATGAAGGAGTGGCATAACCAAGAACTAAGCGGTGAATCAGAGAAATAAAAAGTTATTAGCACAAATAAACAAGGCCACACCTCCGCACAACCCTGCGGGAAGGAGCCACAGTGCCAGATTTTGTGTGGATGCAGCCAAAGCCTGTGTGTACCTGAGCCCTGCCCTCGTCAGACAGACACACAGACCTGCAGCTCTTTATGCAGACAGAGAGCAGAGCAGACAGACAGAGACACTGTAGTAACCTGGTCGCTACGTTTTTAAAGTGCAGACCTGCGCTGCATTCAGATGTTGATTTAGAATTCGAATGTCAACTTGAGCTATTTAGTACAGCCCTAATATTTGCATGACACTGTTTAAAAGAAAAAGCAAAAGGCATTTGGATAAAATGTTGCACACATTTTAATGATAAAGAAGTAACACAGTAATAAGAGGATAAGCTTCTCCTTTACAGCATAAATTCTCCCACAGGAGCTGCGTGGTTGTTTTGCTCCCTGAAGGTCACACCAGTCTTATCTGAGCACCAACGCCCTTTATAACTATTTTCACTGGAGCTGGAGGGAATTCTCCATTGTCAAACTGTAAGCAAGTGTGCACTGATGTATTGCAGTTTAGGCTGTTATTTTGCTGTCTCGTTACCAGGGCTTCCTGCCATTGTGGCCAAAGAGCTCTTTCAATTTCCTTCTACAAATGGCTGTTTTTGGTTCTTGTTGGCCAGATGTATCATCTTTGTGCAGGTGCCTGGCACTTTGACAGTTCTGTCTGTGGCTGTGAATTATAACAAATCAAAATGCGGTTCATGGAAAATGTCCCAAAGGCCTCTTGCTGCTTTCAAAGTTTAAATGAAATCTGGACATGTTGCTTATACATGCTAGAGCAAGAGCAAGACAGACATGCAGTGTGCTGTTGTCTGGTTGACTTCAGGGGAAGGTGTTCCTACCATCACATCCTTCATGGCTCAAGTACTTGACTGTTACATAACTGTGTGTTTGTGCTGGTGCATGCTCTGCGTCTCTCTGCACCATAGGTATTATAGGCATGTGCTTTGCATTGCACCACTGCATAGCTCCCATCCCCCACAAGTCCTGCCACTCCTCCATTTTTCTTTCGCTGTCCCACCAACCCTCCCACCCCCCTACGCCCCCGCAAGGGTTATGTAACAGCCTCTAGCCAGTGCCGAGCCCACTGTGCTGCATGGCTAGCTGAGTCAAGATGCTGACTTAGCAACTCTGCAGGCCAAAGCAAAAGGCATCTCAGCAGACTGTACCAATGATCTCTGACAGGGAGGGGGGACATTACTGAAGGTGATCTGTTATTGTAGTAAATGCAGACTAAGCTTTATGTACTATACTGTATATGTACAGTGCCGTATCCCTAGCTGTCCCACACAGTCAGACTGCAGCAACACTGGACAGATGCTGATGCTGCTGTTATGAAGACTGACTCATAAAGATTTAGGAGTGGCAGATAATGTGAATTATTACTTCTGTTGACCTGTATACATGCAGGGACTTTAACTACAGCATCGCTTTTTAATGATGCATCACTCAAAAAAATTAAAGGACAGTTAATACATTTCTTGGTTTATTATTATGGGAGAATCTTGTCTACCGATTAGTGACTGATGTGCTCCCTACTCTTGACAGTAATAACTATATGTAACAAAGGTCAATAAAGGATTCATGTCTATTACCTTTTATTAATGCCAATGTTTAGATGTAATGTAAAGACATACAAACTGAACCTTGAAGTGGTTTCACAGTAATCTTTTCTTTGTATTTATGTTTGCACTAGATCTAAGTAAATGCAATGCCCAAGAAAAAACACCATGTCAACGTGATCTCCTTCAGAAAGTCACGCAGTAGATGCTCAGCCAGCAGACCTGCACATAAGGCATTAAAAACATTTACAGTAATTTTGACTGTACAAATTCCAAATGTACTTTTTCAGACTAAGTGCACCAGTGCCATAATAATGCATACAGTAGGTAGGGGTTCATTATTACACTTGAACTGGTTGTTAATGGTCCTGTTGGCTGTGACCTTTTGCTTTTAGGACAGCCTGTTTATCAACCTTCCCATTCTGCTGTATAAGTGCACCGCTGGCTCCTGAACTGGCCTAGTTTTTGAGACAAAGATATAGATGGTTTTTGTAGAAGGGGGCCATGTCCCTAAGGGATGAGTTTAATGGTCCTCAGTGGGATGGAGACCGTATATTTTCCCTCGACTCCTGATCCATTTATGAAATTAACCAACTGTAACTGATTGATTTTACTGAATGAATGCAAGAGGAAGTCTCAATTTTGTGGTGTGAAACACAATCTGGTGCATATTTCAGAATAGCATCAATTCATACCTCAAACACACGCTGTAAACAACAGCAGTATTTGTAGCTTCACTTGGTCTCTTTTGTCCAGTTCCATGTATGTTTTGGTTTTTCATTGGCGACACTAACTTCCTCAGCTGTTTTGTTGCAAGCTCATTTTGTATTTTGAAGAGGCACTGACACTCACTCAGGTCTTTTACAGAACATTCAAGAGGTAATAACTAATTGTCAAACAACCGAAATGAATGCGTTCAGGCTGGGCATATTAATTCGGTTAGGCCTGTTTAGAATTTGAAAGAGGAGCTGGTGAGCCTGAACTCCCCTGGCCTTTTAAGAGACGTTTGTCTTTGTGTTTGCTGATCACGGTGTGTTGTGTTGTGGGCGTGAATAACAGACCTCATTATTAGTGCTGTTCCTATAGCAACAAGACCTGTTTGCCAGTCAGATCTGAGTCGGCCGAGCCAGAGGGTTCACATTGGCACAGACAGCCACGTCCCAGTGCATGTAAACTTAAAGAATATGGGCCCTGGGACATTCTCCCTCTGATTGAATGTGCAGCCGAATGCCTGTTTGATAGTGTTTGGGTCATTAGTGAATATCAAGACAGTACTTATAACCCATAATTATATGTAATAAATATAATATCTGATTGGTGCGAATAGCAGTGAGTTAAAACCTCATCAGTGCTAACGTGTGTGTGTTGCCCTCTCTGTGACCTCCATGGTGAAAGGCTCAACCAGACTTCTTCATGCTGCTTATAGCTTTCCAAGTAAAAAACACAGATAAAAAAATTATTTGCTGGAATGAATCAATATGTTTTATTGTGACAATGGTTCAAATGACTATGTAATGTGAAAGGTGTTGCAAGTTAGTAATGATTGTTTTTTGAGTCACATGCTGATCATTTTCTCGATTAATCATTTAACTGTGTGATCCATAAAATGGTGGAGAAAAAAAAATCAGTGTTTCCCGAAGCCCCAGCTGACGTCCTAAAATGTCTTGCTTTGTCCACAACCTAAAGATATTCAGTTTACTATCATAGAGGATTAATTTAATAATTGACAACTAATCAATGAATTGTCTTATTGTTGCAGGTCTAGTGGTGAACCAACAGAAAATTATCATCCACTTTGTAGCCTCTTTACTACTTTAAAAGGTGCTGATATGTCAGTGTTGTTTACATGCCTTTATGTTACACTGCCTCCGAGAAATGGCCAAAAAATGAATAAACCACGTTTTAAAGTTCTCAAAATAAAATTGGATCACATTGAGCATATGTTCATGCTGTTATTTCTCACCACTCTCATCAGCCTTGTTTCCAGTACCAGCAGGCAGCTGTTTTCAGGGAAAGATAACCCACTGTATACACCAGCACTGAACAACAGACAAAACCGACGACTAGCTAAAAGGAGTTTTTATCAGACCATAAACAAGTTTTTAAATGCTGATTAAGGCATTATTTGCTACCACATTCTTTATAACAGCTGCATAAGGTGATGATATAGCAGTGTTGTGTTTGCAGCTTGTTCCATTGCACCCAAGTTTAAAAAAAAAAATGCTGCCGCTTTAACAGAACATATTGGACAGTATTTCAGCATAGCATTTAGGAAACGCTACTGTCTCCAGTTCATTCGGGTCAGTAGTCAGCTTTTATTAACAAGCTTATCCTTGTTAGTTAAGTTCCCCACCTAAAACCAGACGAACAAGGCCAGGTGCTTGAGCGGGTTTGACCACATTCACAGGATTCAAAATGGTAGACTGACATGCTCATGTGGTCCTGTAGTTCAATAGCAAACAGGGCAGCCAATACAGGCAACTGAACATGAACATGTTCACGTTCATGGGGCACCCTGGTAGCTCACCTAGTAGAGCTGGCACCCCATCTACCAAAGCTGAGTCCTGAGTGGTCTTGGGTTTGGGTCCGACCTGTTACCCTTTGGGTGTCATCCCCTCTATCCCTTTTCTGTCCATCTTGAGCTGTCCTGACAAATAAAGGCAAAAACAAAAACAACATTTGATGAACATTACTTTGGAAAAGAGAATCTCTGATAAAATTAGATAAATTGGGTAAAAGTGTTGTCCAATGTGGCTATTACACTAGAAGTATAACACTTTTAAATTAAAGTGAGCACTAAATGGTTTGTATTACACTCAGTATCTAATATTTATCTGTTTCCTCCAGAAACCAGCGAACATCCTGGTGATGGGGGAAGGTCCTGAACGAGGAAGAGTTAAAATCGGTAAGGCGGATTTATAATTCTGTCAACTGCCTGACAGTTTTAGCTTTGCAAATTATACAAATTATAGATTCTGCTATTATCATGGTAATGGATCAATGAGGTTGTTGACATGTTTGAGTGTCCAGTAGCTGCTGTGTTTAACCTTCTCTCCGAGAGGTCGACAGGGAGCTCAGAGCGGTACTGTTGCATAAGCCATCTGGCCAGGGGGGCTGTTGAAGGGTAATGCTGCAATGCTAGAGTCTATTTTTAAACCCTGTGCACACAGTAATAGTACTAAGTTATTGTTACAGTGCAGCTGGATATTCTGCAGTATATCTGGTGCTGGTGAATATTTCCCTGTATTGTCACTGAACAACAGAAAGTTCACCGTTTAACTAGAGAAGCAATTCCTCAAGAAATAGTGGTTTGAATGCCAGATGTTGAAAAGCTGATGCTAAATTGCATTGCTGGCTTTAAAAGTTGAATAATATCAATAGCATATGAAAGATGTGGAATTTTAAAGTTTGTTAAAAAGCTTATGCTCAACTGAATTGCTGGCTTCTTTCATTTTCAGCAAAGCAGCTGAAGGAATATGAAGAGTTGGAAAAGCGGGAAAAGGTTTTATTAGTATGAATGGGATTTAAAAGTTGAATTAAACTCATAATGTAGGAGTAAGACGTGGAACATTAGAAGGTTTGAATGGAGTTTCTGACTTAAAGTATAAATTAGTAGATAAAAGCTGAAAAAAGTATGAATATGTATGACGAAGGATGCAAAACAGTGTAATCTGGGAGCTAACCTGCACTGCTTCTCTAATGGTAGAGAGCAAACTAAACAGCACTCCATAAAGCAACAAAAGTTCTTTGATGTTATTTTATTGTTATATATCTTTATGTGGACCTGGAATGCTGGCTTTATTATTTTTAATTTAGATATGCATGCTCATGTTGGCCAGAAAAGAGAGGTAAAAGAGAGTAGATGAGCGTGAGAGCTCCAGAGGTCTAGAGAGATAGATGCTTTTACAGATTGCTTCACACACTTCTCTGTAAATAGGTGTGACTACTGGATAATTATTCTGTTGTGTTACATTGAAATATTACCTTGTACAGGTCAGGTCAGGTTTAGCTATTGTGTTTGTAAATTATTTAGCCCTGAAACCTAACTGAACTGACACCATCCGGATCTACGTTCCGCGTCTTTGGCAGATTAGCGTGCCTGAGGCGCTATCTGAGACCCTGACAGCAACCTTGGACCTGAGGCCAGCCTGCACTCCACTCTCTGATAATGTCTTTGTTTGCTTTGTCTTCTCCCCACACCTCCTGTAGCTGACATGGGTTTCGCCAGACTCTTCAACTCTCCCCTCAAGCCACTGGCGGACCTTGATCCCGTGGTGGTGACGTTCTGGTACAGGGCCCCTGAGCTTCTGCTGGGGGCGCGGCACTACACCAAAGCTATCGGTGAGTGTGGAGTCACATGTTCAAAGCAAGCCCACACATGTATGTGTGTGTGAACACAGCCACAAACATTCATCTCTCTGCACTACGGATTGTGATTACTGGTGTTTTGCTCAACTGAAGCCGGTTTGTGTAGGTGTGCATTGGATCCACACCAGGAGTGGATGATAGTTGTTATTTTAGCAGCATGATCAGTTTTTTAATGTCCCCCCAAGGTCTCTCAATGTGAGTAGGAATGCACACTGCTGGCTGACAGCTCCGAGTACCAATGTGATCTTTGGTCTGTGGTATGAAGCGGGTGTGTCTGCATGTCTATATTTATCATTCCTGGAACACGAAGTGTCAGTCTGTCGTCATAATGGGTCATACTCTCAGCACCTACCAAGTGTCTCAGGTCACCGCTGTGTTTTTGATTATCTCTAAATGTGTGTGAGGTGTGAAAGAGAGACGGTCAGATATGAAAACAGTTTAAAGGAGTTGTTTGAGATTTTGGGACATACACCTATTTGTTTTCTAGAGTTAGATGAGAAGGCCCATATCACTTTCATGTCTGTCCATTGAACATGCTACGACCAGCAGTCAGTTAACTTGCTGTAACTGAGCATAAAGACAGAAAATAATGGTAAAACAACTAGCCTTTAAGATCAGCAATCGTTTGGGTGAAAACTGGTTCGAAGTCTTGTGCATGCAGCCATAAAAAGCTTTAACGTCCATCTTTCAGTTATTCCAAGATTCCAGACTATGCACTGCAGCTAATGCACCTCAAGAACACTAAGTGGCATCTATATGTTTGTGTGTGTGTGTGTGTGTGTGTGTGTGTGTGTGTGTGTGTGTGTGTACATGCACCAGATATTTGGGCAATTGGCTGCATCTTTGCGGAGCTGCTAACGTCCGAGCCCATCTTTCACTGTCGCCAAGAAGACATCAAAACCAGTAACCCCTTCCATCATGACCAGCTGGACAGGATATTCAGCGTCATGGGTTTCCCTGCAGGTCTGCACACAACACACAAAACTACTGCTACACGCACACACAAGGAAACAGTCTGCTGTTTTGATTCTGAATCATCTTTGTGAAGACGAGCGTTATCATCCACTAAGCACAATATAATGACTAGATGAAACAGTGGGCGACCAGAGTCAACCACTGTTCTGCGTTTGTATAAAGGGGATTTGCGTCACAAGTAATAAATGTATGTCAAGTAAATTACAGCCAAAGTTTTACAACTCTGTTAAGCGTTAACTTAAAGCTGCCCTTTGGAGTTTCTTGGAAACAATCAAAAATATGTTTACATGTTTATGTGTGTGTACTTCTCTGTGTCTTCTCTATACCTCTCTTCCACCAAGGCTGGTTCGAAACCGGTGCCTGATATCAAACCAATTCTTTGCGTTTTGCTGGCTCTTGACCAGGAACGCTAGCCAGTTAGCCAGCTAGCAAACCAGGGTAACAATAGCATTAATGGACACGTATACAGTGATTTAATGATGTGGCTCGATGGTGGCTCTCTAGCCCGTGGAAAAGAAAACCGGTTTTCAGAAGGTTCTCAAGTTGAGCCAACTCTGAACCAGCACTAGCACCAGACCACTAGCACTAGGTTCGGGTTGGTGGAAAAAACAGCACAGGAGGACCTTGTTTTCTTCACAATATAGTAATATATGTCCAGAAGTATTCTGTAAAAATTGACAAAAAAAATTAAAACAATGAGTCTCATACATATACTGGGTAAATTTGTGTGTTTACAACTACGAGCTTATTTGTGTCTTTTTGTATTCCACAGACAAGGACTGGGAAGACATCAGGAAGATGCCAGAGTACCCAACGCTGCAGAAAGACTTCAGGAGGACAACGTGAGTGGATGCCGTGATGATCTGACCGTGATCAGAAACTCACACACCAATATGTAAACAAAATATCAAATACATATCACACAGATTCTTTATGTATATTGTTGTGTTTTCTCATCTAACAGGTACGCAAACAGCAGCTTAATCAAATACATGGAGAAGCATAAAGTCAAACCAGACAGTAAAGTTTTTCTGTTGGTAGGTACAAACACTCACACACACATTATAAGGAAAGGGTATCTGCACTGATTTGACAAATCTGGAAATTTTGTAGTTACAGAACACGTAGAAACCTGAAATAGTTGTGTGTGTATGACAAATGTGATATACTAAGAGTGATGACTAAAACTGATCATTTGTATGTAAAATGCCCATCTTCTAGATACACAATTTCTTGTTGCTGAAAATAAACATCACACCAACACATTTTGAAGCTAAACGTCCCGAACTATGAAAACATCACTACTGTGTATCACTGTGTTTTTCCTCTCTGGCTTCAGCTCCAGAAACTCCTCACCATGGACCCCACCAAAAGAATCACATCAGAGCAGGCACTGCAGGACCCGTACTTCCTGGAGGACCCATTACCGACCACTGAGTGAGCCTTAGTAAACTTTTGCAAAAGGCTTTCCTTTGTCTTGATTCAGCAAAAGAAAAACAGGCCCACAGTGATTTACTCCTTTAAGTATGAGGAATTTGCTATTTACGCTTTGACCTACCTTTCTAGTTTTGTCCTTTGTTTTGAGGGGAGGGGCTGTGTTTTGGTTGGTATGCAGTTGAATCAGAGTGGTTTAGTGTGTTAATGCAGAAACATTAAAATCACTGATTCTCTGATTGCCTCTAGTGTCTTCGCTGGGTGTCAGATCCCCTACCCAAAACGAGAGTTTCTAAATGAAGACGAGCCTGAGGAGAAGACAGAAAAGGTAATTATCTAGTTCTGCTGAAAACAACTCACAGCATGAAAATCATTTTGTCAACTGGCCACTCCACCATGTCATTTCATTACTTCATTATAATAGCTTTCAGAATATAGACACACACTGTATTTATATTTGTTTGTGCAAAAAATAATGCACACCAGGTTTTGAATTTGCGTAGATTGCTTGGATTTATAGCCTACTGATTTCTGGACAATGTGCATTATTTTCAGATAACCACACGGCTCCTGTGCGGTTATGAAAAATAACCCACCTCTGTTTTGGACATTATTTTAAATACATGCACAGCATATTGTAGACAATCTGTAATGTCAGTTTATTTCTTGGAAGGTACCTCCGTCATATTAATAGAAGACATGTATATATGTTATAGTATAGCCCACACTTTTAAGAATAATACATTCCAACCTGTGTGGTTATGAAAAATAACACACCTCTGTGTTGGACTTTGAAAAGCTGTACAGCATATTGTAGACTATCGCTAGTTAACAATCCATATCTTGAAAGGGACCTCATTTTAAAAGGAAACATGACTTAATCAGTATTAAAATCGACACTTTATACCCTTTATGACAATACAATAGCAGTCAAGATGCATTTTTAATTATGATTAGAGATTTTTAACTTTATGAAAAGTCACTTTAAATAGAGGATGAAATAATGTTTGCAGGATCTAATTTTATGTGATTTAAGGGGGAATTATTAGACATGTGTTGAAATGTTTTCTGTCAATACCTGAACACTGAATATTTTAAATGTACATTGTTTACATAGTGACATTTAAAAGCATCACTAAAAACTGGAACTACACAGTGTCAGGTGCTTTATCTAAAAGTTAGAAACACCTCTGCATTAGAAGAGCTCCAAACCCCACTGCAGTGTGAGGCTGGACGCATGTGGAATGTATTGAGATTGTATTACTGTCCAAAGAGAATAATGACAGAGGAAGAAAAACAGAAGCTGCACAAACACAAGCAGCTGATTACCATCTCACAGCAGAGCAGCAGTCAGACCAGCTCTCCAGGTGAGGGCTGCAGGGTTTTCAAACTCAAGCTGTAATCTCTGATTTGTTAGCCACCTGATTCAATTCAATTCAATTCAATTTTATTTGTATAGCGTCAATTCATAACAGAAGTTATCTCAGGACACTTTTCAAATAGAGCAGGTCTAGACCGAACTCTTTAAAACATTAATTACAGAGACCCAACAGTACCACCATGAGCAAGACCTTGGTGACAAGGGCAAGGAAAAACTGTCTGTTAAAAGGCAGAAACCTAGGACAGATCCTCCGGCTCTAGGTGGGTGGTCGTCTGTCTCGACCAGTTGTGGTGAGAGAGAGAGCGAGAGACAGACAGACAGACAGACAGACAGACAGGTGCACAGCAACAACAGTATTGGCAATGGCAATCTAGCAATCTGATAATAATAACAGAGCAGTCTGATTTATTGGCTGCATCCACATTCTCAAACATATTTCACTGTTCACTGGCCACCTGGTTGTGTTTCAGTACAGTTTGGTACAGCATTTGATTGGTCCCTAGTCATTTCTCACTACAGTGTTTAATATTACCAAATCGGAGAATGGAAGCTCCTTCAAATCCAAGCTCAATGGTGGTTGGTAAGGACAAAATTGATGTTTCTATGTTTTCACATTGGTGTCTATCAGTGTGCCAACACATTGTTAAGAACATGATAAGTCAGAGAATCATAAGAATATCATAATAACAAAAACAGTACAGCACAAATGCCACAAAGCAGATGATCTGTTCAGATATAAATCACTATGCTGCATGATGTTTGTGTTTTATTGCTTTTATTGTAAACAACAAAACGCAAATGGACACTAGAACAATCTGAATTTGAATACTTGTTTTTTGCCACTTTAAGCCTTAATTAGATAGAGACAGCAGGGAGATGACAGGAAATGAGGGGGGAGAGAGATGGTGAATGACAGGGTGCCGCTAAATGTGCATGTTGATGAAAAACTGACTTCCTGGACTCATAACTTCTTAGCGCTTTAAAATAAAGAGTTCATGTTAGCACTGCCAGGGCATTATGTGATATTACAAGTATGGCACAGAAATTGCTTCAATGGTTTGATCATCTCAGTGCGCCAGATGCATCTGGACAGTTTTGCGTTCCACCGATAGAAGAGCAAGTTTTGTTACATATTAAACAGATGTTACAGTAGGCCTGAAACCTGCAGTGCATTAGAGTTAAAAGTCTCTGCTGGTTCTTTCAGCTATTATTACAGTGTGATGAATCACTACGGGGATTCAGCTTTGACTTTGCCTGAGGCAGGGACACACTGTACACACAGAAACAAACTGCAGCAGGACTGAGCCCCAATGGGGGAAAGTAACTAAGTACATTTACGTAGTACTCTTTTGAGGTACTTGTCATTTTTCCATTTTATTCGACTTTCTCCACTAAAAGTGGAAATATTAAACTTTTTGCCATCTGTAGTTACTAGTAGGACTACCATGATCTGTATCCGTATCTGTTCTCTGAATGGGCAGAGCTTAACAGGAAGGGGTCGGGAGCTGTTCATTTAAGCCTGGTATTGATATAAGTTGATCAGAAGTTGCTGTATTTATTAGCAAACTATTTACAGAACAGAAGAGATTTGAGCTTCAGAGCAATGTTTCTGAGAGAACAATTAACACAACATTTCTTTTCTATGAAAGTTTCTATATGGATTGTTCATTAGAAAACGGATATTACTCTGATGATACTTATAATCGTAAAAAGTAAATTATCTGTATGGATACTCCTTTTAGCCAAGTACCCACTCAACTCTAGTTACTAGTCACTTTTCAGATTACAATGTGACATAAAAAAATATATGAGGGATTTATAAAATACAACACATTGTCAGAGAGTTGAGACCCCTTGTCATGTTTCAGATGTGTTGGAGTTGTTAGCAGTTCCACCAAAGAGACAGTTTGCCTCGAAACTTCTTAAATATTTTCATTTGAATGATTGATCATACACATAAAACTCTCAAGTATTTCAGCAAAGATTAGAGAAAAGTTTCAAAAAATTAAACCAATGTGTGTAGCAGAAGTTTTTCTTCTTCCATCTCTAATTAAACATTTCACAAACCCACAGATTTGTATTGTGACCCTTTGCAGTGGCCTGACCCCCAGTTTAGGAACCACTAAATTAAACTGTTTCTAAAGTCTGAAGGAAGCAGAGAGATGCACTGCTGTGGACCGGGGCAGCAACACAACATGTTTTAGCCACATAAAAAGGTTCACCTACTAAAATCAATCATCAGTTTAAGAGTATTCTATATTTAGAATAGTTTTACCGCTTTACCTTGCCATCAGTTAGCCCTTTCTGATGGAAAACGTAAGCTGATATATCTATCTATGCTCCTTTTAAAGCCAAAACCGAGATTTTACTGTAGGAGGAGGAGGAGTTGCTGTTTAACCAATGCCTCAGTCTAGTCTGTTTGTGTTATGCTGTGACTGGTGTTTTAACATGTTAGTTCGGATCTGAATATATATTTAAATTTGAATGTGTCCAAACTGGGGACCACTGTCATTGTGTGTCATCGCTGCATTACAAGAGACGGCGAGTGAAGTGAGAGTGGCGTGCTAGAAAAAGCCCAATACCAAAGCAGGTCCATGCTAGCAGCATGGTTTTAAAAAGCAGAGTGCTGTTGTGCAATCTGAATGGAAAGTGAGACAGAGACAGAGATAGACGTCTCCTTGTCACTTCTGAGAAGCAACACCTGATCTGACTGTGTTGCTTCACACTAGTCTGAGCAGTGTGAGGGGCTTGGTTAACTTTGATTAATTATGTCATAAGATACCTACACATTAGACACAGTATTCACACACAAAAGGCAGAAATTCAGTCAACATGGGACATAGACGACATGTTGAATGAAACAAACAAGGACAACACTGCTGAGCCTCTGCTACACTACAGACTGAAGTGAAAGTTGTGACATAGTAGAAGAAGTAGTAGTATTTATACTAAAATAATAAGTACATTGAAACGCTTTTACACCTGTTTTTAGATCTGTAATAGATGCCATCTGGTGAGCTGTTCCAAATTTTGTCCTTTACATATTTAAAAGACCGTCATGTTACTAATTCTGATTTTCCTTTATATCCTTCATACTTTTTGCTAGTAAATGACTTAAAATAATTTAATGTCTTAAATTGCATTCATAATAGTCTTAAAAAAGGTCTTAAATGTAACCTGTTAAAACCCTATCTATCTTACCAGGTGTCTGGTCTTTCCTCATGTCCATTACAAGTTTCTTTTATTTAGATGTTTCCTTAAAGTAATGATGTTTTGCAGAGTTAGATTGTATTTCAGTCTGTCAGTGGGAAAGTGGGTCAGAAGCAGAAAAGAAAAGCCTACAGGTGGGTAGACAGAGGAAACAGAGGGAAGAACAAAAAGACTACAAGCAACTAACCAAAATGATTTCACACACTGATCAGATTACCTCTCCCCACTCCCTGCAGCCACTCACTCACTTTTGCAAAGCTTTTACCGGTTGCCCTGTGTGTCCATCTGCAGAACCAGACCCAGCAGCACCAGCAGACGACAGGCCAAACTCAGGCCCAGAACCAGCAGCAGACGGCAGCCCAGCAGGCCCCCTCCCAGCAGAGCTCGGCCCAAACCAACGGCACCGCCGGAGCCACGGGGGGCACCGCCGGCGGGGGTATGCAACACGGCCAGGACCAGGGTCCCCCCAACAAGAAGCCTCGGATTGGGCCCTCTGGGGCCTCCTCAGGCACTGGGGTGCTACAGTCAGAATACCAGGTTAGTGGGATTTTACAGAAGTGAGCCACACTGTTGCACTGTGTGACATAATGTTCCATTATTACCATGAACACACACACTATAGTTTATTTTGACTCAATCCTGCACACACCGTCCTGCTGCCGGAAATACTACTAATACTAGTGCATCAAATGTGGATTCATCCGCAGCTAAAAATAGTCCCCAAGTTCACTGTTTACTGCTTTCGCTAATGTGATAAGCTGAGCTTTTTTGAAAGATTTATGTCATAAGTAGGAACCAAAGGGCTCAGGGGTTTAGAGCTAGAGACAAGGTAGGTAGGTAGATAGATAGATAGATAGATAGATAGATAGATAGATAGATAGATAGATAGATAGATAGATAGATAGATAGATAGATAGATAGATAGATTCTTTATTGTCTTTTTCAGGAAATTTGTTGCCACAGTCTGTACATAAACGTATACACACAACATTGCCACAGGATATACATTTAAACACAGCACAGACATCTAAACACAACACCGGTATTTACTAATAACGGCTACCGGGGAGTTTTGTTGAGTAATGCTATGGCAGAAGGGATGAAACTTCTGCCATAGCAAGCTTGTTTACACGGTAGGGAAGTTTAGTTGTTGGTTTTGGTCTTTTCATATAATTTGTTAACGATAAGAAACATATAGGACAGCCCAGTCTTATCTAACCTTAGCACCCTTTGAGTAGCAATGAGTCAATTTTTGTTGATGAACAGGACAGTCAGCTTAAATGACATTATACCATTCATAATTTTGGGGGGGCAAATTTCTAAATTTTCTATATGTTATCATGTAATGTTTTTAGATTGCAGACTATTTCTCGGACAAAACAAGAATAATTAAGCAATAATTCTGACATATTATAGACATAAACATGTTTCATTAATCATACAATAATTGACTGATGTTAAAGAATGTCAGCAGTGTGATCTCTGTGTGTATAATATGTGTGTTTGGCAGCAAACATACACACACATACATGTATAATACACCAGACAACAACAGCTGACTGCTGGCTGGCTGATAAAGACTGTACACTCCACATTGTCCTGCTGCAGAGCTGATAGCAAATCACTGCGGTGCCTGCTGGCGTTCTCTTCCCACTGGCATCTTCTATATCTTTGGCTCGAGTCTTATCGCGGGGCCAGAGAGAGGGAGATCTCTGAGTGGTGGAGAGAGTGTGATGAAAAAAGGGCAAGTACAGAGAGAGCATGTGTCAAGTGATAGTGGAGACTATTATGACCCCTCTTGCCTATGAATAGCCCCATTTCTACACAAAGTTCCTGGAACTTTTAGTCCTAGCAACTACTTTTCAAGAAACTAACTTCAGCATATTGTTGTCTGCATTCCCACCACGGTTTAAAAACCCCTGAAGATTAGGCAGATAAGTCCGCTGATGTTTTTACACAGAATTTTTGTATGTGGGGGCGCCCGGTTAGCTCAGTTGGTAGAGCTGGTGTCCCATGTACCGAGGCTGAGTCCTTGCTGCAGCGGCCCAGTGTTCGAATCCGACCTGCGTCCCTTTTCTGTCATCCCCTCTCTCTGCCCCCCTTTCCTGTCTGTCTTCAGCTGTCACTATCAAATAAAGGCAATAAAAAGCCAAGAAAATACTTTTTTAAAAATGTGACCATAAATCCACAATGCCTGGACATCGTTGTCGGCCTGCTCTGGGTCGATGTGTCAATGCATTGTGAACAAAAACAAACTGTTTTGCAGCTACACATTTTCAAAAATGTTAGCTGAGGGCGCCCGGTTAGCTCACCTGGTAGAGCTGGCGACCATGTATCGAGTCCTTGCCGCAGCGGTCCAGGGTTCGAATCAAACCTGTGGCCCTTTGCTTTGGAAATTTGGGGAGTTTAAAATAATTGGTAAGATCTTATTTGGATAGTCTGCCTCAAGATAGTTTAGAGAGTATTTATAACATTTGAACAGCTTATTAGTTGAGATTCAACAACCCTTTTCTGATATTAAACCACTGTGGTTAAGGTTTTGTTAGGTTTAGGTGCAAAAACATCTTGGTTAGGGTATGTTCATGAAGGTTTACAGGCTAGGGTTAGGGTTAGGGTTATAGACCAAGGTTAGGGTTAGGCAAAAGTGAACAGTAGGGTTAGGGTTAGGGTTAACCCAAATGTTACAAATACTCTATAAATTATCTGTGGGTGGACTATCCAACTAAAGTGTTACATAACAATGTCCCTGGAACTTAATTTAGACCCTAGTCCCTGCAGTGGAAACAAGTGCCTGGTCCCTGGGGAAAGTTCCTGCGGTGGAAATGCAGTTTTTGAGTGTGCTGTGTTGATGAGGCCACATGGGGGTGACATTATCAGGCGTACATATAAGTCTATCACATATATAGATATAGAGTATATATAGCAGTGGCTGAGGCTGCATGTGAGACAGCTGGTAGCTGTCAGGCCTCACCATATGTATAAATAAACCAGTGGAGCGGGCTGACATACCAGGAGGGTGGCTACCATCACCGTCAACGTCCCACTTTTCCCCTCATCGATCCAGGCACCACAGGCTATCCCACCATGCACCACTCTCCAGTCATTCTCCTAAATGATGCAATGTTGCACATGTGACCTGGACTGAGTAGTGTAGACTTGTATTCAGATCAGCCGTGGTCCTCACAGACAGCTTCTTGTCACCCTGTGACACTTAAGTGAGTTTGGATATCCACCTTTACCCTTCTTTCTCTTTACTGGTGAACATTTTTAAATCTTTAAATGACCATTCTGGCAATTTACTGTAGTGTTTCACTTCCAGTAAGTTAGAGGTAAAGAGACTTGTGAGAACCGAATAAGCAGAGGCTGAGATATCCTCACTTTTACACCCAAGAACTCAAGGCAACTCGATAGTATCTTTTCACAAGACCCTCCCTGCCTGGTAAACACCCACGTCTTTCAAACTCCAAGGCCCCAGTTTGTAACAGAGACTTTCTGTTAATTTGTTGTCTCCAAGGACAGAGGTGAGATACAGTAACATCACCAGGGGCTCTCACCGAACAAATCTACCCCAGAAGCCTGTTCTTACAGGCTTAGATGTACTTGTAGTAGTAGTAGTAGTAGTAGTAGTAGTAGTAGTAGTAGTAGTAGTAGTAGTAGTAAACCGATGTTTGAGTGTAAAATAGATTGACTATCCCTTTAAAACAAACATCAAATATTGATTGGTTTTATGACCCTCGTTTTGCCATGATAACAGATTTTCAAGATCATGGAGGTCATGCGTGGGCATCAGCACACAATGTTTGTGACTGCAATCTGCAAAAGTTAGTTATTAAATGTAAAGTATAAAAGATGAAAGGTAGTCATTCTGCAGAAAATCTGCTCCTCTGACTGAATAACATTATTAATACTGAGCGGCATTTTACTGTTATACCTACTTGTGGTGTTAATTTATATACAGTTAGCAAGTTTAAATCAGTGGTTCCCAAACTGGAACTGCTCCTACACCAGCAATGTTTTTGCATAAACATAAACTCAAACTGGTCAGTATCAAAAGTGGTCCAAGGAAGGAAAAGCGGTAAACTAGAGACAAGGTCATGCGGGGCCGAGGCTCACTAGGGCTAACCCGTGTGGTCTGATCCAACAGACGAGCTACTGTGGCTGAAACAGTTAATGCTGGTTCTGATAGAAAGGTGTCAGAACACACAGTGCGTCACAGTTTGTTGGTAAGGGGCTGCACGAAATTCTGACCACCATGGCGCCCAAATGGTCAGAATGTAATGGCTAAAGCAGTGCAGACTCCACTGTGACTAGTTTAACACTCGCGCACATTAGTCAGCCCTCTCAGAACTTGCACACACACAAGCAGCTTTCACATGTTAAGTAATGAGATCTCAGTTGCATCACTGAGCTGATCACTACTGTGCTGTCTCTCCACCCTTCCCTCTCTCTTTCCGTCAGCACTCCGGCCCCCGCCTTGGTTACCAAAGCAACGTCCAAGGTTCCACCCAGCCACAAAGCACCATGGGATACTCCTCGTCGTCCCAGCAAAGCTCCCAATACTCCCACCAGACCCACCGTTACTGAGGCTCCCAGTCACTCCTGAACCAGCAGAGGGGTCAGCTCCTCCTCCTCCTCCTTCAGAGAGACGTCACCATACACCCTTGGCTCCATCCTGGTCGGACCTCCCTCCGTGCATTACATCATTCCAACTCGACCATCCTTCTTTTCAACCCTCCCTCGCCTCTAACCTCTTTCCCCCACAGCCTTTAAAGGCACTGGAACATGAAGGCAAATGAACATAGGAACCAAAAAAAAGAATCTAACAAGAAGTTGTGCCTCGTTGGGCTGGTGAACCGTTTTTAAAACAAGTGAAAATAATGTAAGATAGGTGTGAAGGCGTCACACACAGACCTTGAACACTTACAAACGCAACCTTCTTCAGGAGGAAGAATCGCAGCTGTGTTCATATATGTACATTATATAGCACCTTTTTCTATTTGAGTTTTTTTCCTCTCTCACTTATTTGCTAGAGTTTCCAAGTTTACCTTGATAGTTGATGTCATTGTAAATATTGTTGCATATGGGAGCGATCGGATGAAACGAAACACAGGTGGAAAAGCCCTTTACTGTCATCTCCAGTGGATACCTTGGATAATCAAAAGAAAAAGAAAAAAGTTTGAGCTAACCCTGACCTGTTTCTACACAGAAAAAAATCAGCTCTTCAGCTGATGCAATTGCAGGGAAATATTAAATGCGCAATTTAACTTAATATTCTTCTTATAGGGTTTCTATATTTAGACCTGTCTTTAAATAGATTTGGATTTGGAAAGTGAGAAGAGTAGTTGTCTTTTTACAGCTCTAAGTTGTATATATTCTGATTCACTCCGCTACCTTTAGAGATAAGAAACATTTGACAGCCCAGCTTTGTTTCCTCTGATGACGCCTCTCGTTTGTGGCCAGCGGTCTTCTCGTCTGGGAGCTGCTGGTGGACACTTTGCTCTGACACCCATCTTATCGCGGACCCTCAAGACTTATAAGGTTTCTGAACACGAACGTGCGCATAAACGTACAGGGCAGCTAACAGTACGCTCACCCCCTAATATGCTTATTGAGACTGTTACTGCCTGATGTCAGATTGTTTTTTTAAGGTTTTAATGTTATCATTGTGAGAGTGTGTGTGTGAGTGTGTGTGTGTACAGTATGTTTTTTATGCATGTTGTTTATTCTTTTAGAACTGCACTGACTGCTGAACCGATCTGCAAAGAGCTGAAACAAACGTGGGATGAGTTTTGTCGTTCGAAGGCTCATCCTCTCCCACTGCGACCCCGCTGGCCGAGCACTGAGCACACAGACAGCAGGTGCGTTCTTTAATACATGCCAAGGAGGCAGGAGCAAAAGTGATCGACATAAGTATTGATGTAAATGTGCCGCGTGAATCCTCAGTGCCTCTACAGAAAGTATTATTTTCTATTTTGTCCTTTTCTATCATTTTATACAGCGTATACAGTATAATCACCTACCGGTGATGTAATTAATAAGTCAATCTGTGAGAAAGCCTTTAAAAGTAGAGGTGGAAGAAGTACACACATTCTTTACTCAGGTAGAAGTACAAATACTTGTGTAGAAAAAGACTTTGGTAAAAGTACTGATTTACTTTATTCAAGTAAGAAAAATAATAATCAATCATTCCCTGAAATGCATTAAAACTCAGGTAATAAGCCTGTTTTAAATAAAGTAAATTAGCTATTCAAGTGAAGTACAGATACCTGAAAGAACTACTTAACTACAGTGACAAAGTACTTATAAATGATCTGTGGTGGAATGTAACTAAGTACATTTACTCAAGTGCTGCACTCAAAGGAATAGCTCCACTTTATAGGAAATATTCTTATTCCCTTTTGACGAGATGAGAAGATTGATGCTGTATGCTCAGTATGAAGCTACAGCCAGTTAGCTTAGCTTAGCTTAGCACGAAGCCTGCAAAGCTTGCCTGGGTCTGTCTGCCTGGGTCTGTCTGTTTCCAGTCTTTATGCTAAGCTAAGCTTTACTTTACTTGAGTATTTCAATTTCATGCTACTTTACATTTATACTCCACTACATTTATATAAGAGATTAAGTTACTAATTCATGTATGAGGTTTTGATACAAAACATGATTTATCAAATAATAAAGCCCTTTTCCAGCTATCCAGTTATTTTAGGCTATAGTTGACTCCTAACACATTTATTTATTTATTTTTTTAAATGTGAAAGAAAGCCACAGGTGCACTAAGAATATTCTAGCCTAATTTCAGGGCAAATCCATTTTTCTAAAATCAAGTGTTATTTTCATACTTCTACTGCAGCGACTTACCTCATACTTTCATGATGCAGTCAGTTCTTTGCACAGGTTTATTTGTAGTAAATAAACTATCACGGCAAAAGATTTGTTTGACTTGTCTTACAAAAAGAAGTTTTAGGACCCAGTTATAGCCAGAATTACTGCACCTCAAACAGTTGGAACAGCAAAATGCTACTTACACATTAATGCATCAATAATAATAATAATCCAATAATATGATCTAACAGTATGAAATTGGCCATTCTGCGGTGCTACTTTTACTACTTTAAGTAAATCTAGCTGAAAATATTTTACTTTTACTTGTAAAGAGTATGTTTACACTGTTGTATGATTATTTTTACTTAGGTAAAGGACCAGTATGCTTCATCCACCACTGAGAATATTACAGACAACATCCGACTTAGAACAAATCTTCAAGGCCAAGCCTGAAAATGAGGCTCACTTTCTACCCCCCCTTCCCCTTTTTATTTCCCCACAACTTGCTCCATCCTCACTGGTCCTGCTCGGTCACATGACTGGCCGTCGTGCAGGTTGTATTAAAGAATGCACCCAATGACTCCACTGTAACTGTTACTGCGTTTGCTCCACAGACGTGGGCACAGCAGCGTTGGGGGGAGCTGCATTTGGCAGATGTGTGGCCTGCAGTGGGATTAGAAAACACTGACACCTTGTGGCTGAAAAGAGAACTGGACCCTGTAAAACTGCAATTATACAAGTTGTTAAAGCAATTTTCACCAGAACGTGCAAACCATGGGTGTTTTAGTGTAAATCTGATATTATTGTGTCCAGAGATCCAGTCATGTTTCACTGAGCGGCTTTGCTCTCAGTAAGACTGATTATTCAGAAGTGTGTCCTTAAGGCTTTTGGTTGTTGCATTGATACTAAAATGTGCCTCAGTTCGAAGAAAGAGACTTTCTCTGAAAAAACCCCTCAGTGACTCCTCAGTGTGCCCCCATGACTGGCTCTTTCTCTGCAGCAGCCAGGTGGATTACAGTCCAAGCTCACTTCCATCCAAACTGGATCATTTCTGCAAAAAGTTCTCATTTTCAATTCCTTTTCTTTTTAAAGTAAAAACAAACATGCAGTTGGAGGATCTTGTGGCAAGTGCAGATGAGCTTTGCAGGATTCATGTCAAATCACTTTAATGTAAACACAACATTACCATATTATCACCTTACAGAGAGCTGAGGTCATTGCAAGCTTATAGTGTGCACCTGGGCTTTACTGTTCATATTGTAAAACAAATCCAAACCTGCAGATTTTCAAACTTTTAATCTCAACTGTCTATAAGCTAGGGAAATAGTGTTTGTTAGAAACTGCTAATAGTAGCTAATAGCTAAATATTACATAAACAACAATATACAGCAGTGCTCAAGACTGGACTGGACTGTAGTACTCAGACCCAAGACCGGACTCGAGTACTATGGCACTGATATACAGAAGGATGACAATTTGACCACCATTATTTCAACATATGGAGTGAACCACACATATTTTTCTATGTAGGATTATGTCGCAGGGCTGGAGTTTTAGTCGTTTGCGTTATTACAAAAATCTGTGAGTTTGAAGAAGTTTTCTTATCCAAAAGTTCTGCTTTGGCTTCAGCTCTCTATAAAATTGATACGGCTAATGTATCAGCTAATTTATTCTTGCAACAGGTATACATGGAATAACATGTATTCTTTCTGGCCATCTGAACATGAGTCCAATATTCACTCTGCTTTTAGCTCTGGTTTGGTCTCCAACTCCTGAATGTAAATGTCTGGCTCTTTAGCTTCTATATATTTCCTGAAGTACAGTAGCTAGATGCTTACTTAGCATGTCAGCCATTTGGTGCTACACAGCTCGTTTTTCCTGAAAACAGCTTCCTACGGCTGTAAATGAGGTCGATAAGAGCGGAGTTTGTGGGCTTGAAAACCAAAACAATGAGCTAAAAGAGTCTAAAAAGCCCAGAAGATCTGAGGGGAACTGCAGAGTCGGGTGATGATTTTTTGTGGGTTTGTGACTGGAAGCCACCCCTTTTACATTACGGGCAGTCAGTTGATCAATTGTTAATGAAAACAATATTGATTAGTTCAGCTTCAAAGACAAATCCAAAATCTGATGTAGATGAGCTGTTCACAGTGTACATTGCTTTAGTTCCTTTGTTCGTTGTGTCTACTCGGCAGGCAGATCCAGGGAGACGCAGTCTGTTCAGCTAGAAGTGATGATGGGGATCAAAACCAGCAGCTATTCAAAGGTTTTCTCCTCCCTTTAGTATGTGTATTTGAAGTAGCAGCGAGGATACGTGAAGACGCTGTGTTGTAAATTTCTCTCCACACAAGCGAGGTGTCACAAGTATTACTGAGCGCAAGGCTCCAGCGGGAGACAAATTACTGTCAAACAACTCCTATGCAAAAAAAAGAAAAACAAAACCCAGATTAAAGCTTTCACTTAGGTTGCTTAGGTTTTGCAGTTGACAGCTTTTTATTATGTTTTGATGGGTGACGTGTTTTCATTCCTTGTGTAATATTGAGTACAGTAGTTCAAGACAGCGCTCACTTATGTCCTTTTTTCACAGCATTTTGAATTGTACTCTAAATGAACTATTGTAAAGAAATGCATATATATGGATAGTATACAATCATATTTATTATTTCCTTACATCTATGAATAATACCCATTTGTAGAACTTTCCTCTGCCTTAACTATAGTAGCTATAGAAAGGGACCTCCGTCAGACGAAGCAGGCATCACTAGACCGTGTTTCTTGTTATGTTCGAGTAATTTCCTCTCAATGCGCTCACATGAAATTATGTCTAGTTACTGAATGTGTTAACGCCACCTCAATGTACAGTAGAATGAAGGCGACGCCACCGTTTGGGATCACTCGCCGGCTTCTCGTGGTTGGTTTGTGTCACGCAGATATTCCACAGTGTCACTGTTTTTACAGGAATGATAATGATCCACGTTTTTATTTGTGTGGATGGTGCCTTTTTCTAGTCGTTCATCTTCTGACGATGTCATGGGAATTTGTTCAGGATTTCTGTTTTTTTATATATATATATTATTTTGAGTTGTTTGTATTTTCACACCGCCTCTGTTAGCTCTTTGGGTCTATGTCCTCTTTTTTTTCCTCATTACTATGTAGCATATTGTTATTTACACAATGTGGAAGCTAGCAGCTATATATATATTATTTCAGTTCATTGTGTCTCAACTCTGAAGACTGCAAACAATCCTGATGGAGGATTGGCTCTTGTTTTCTCCTCTAATAGATATTGTCCTCACACAATACTGAAGCGCAGTCATAAGTATGTTTTGAAAATGCTGTACATAAAAAACACATTTTAAGAATTTCTCATTGAGATATTGACACGATAATTGTCTTTTAATGCACTGTTGTTGCTCAGATATTTAGTGGTAAATAAAAAAAAGTATTTAATGTTTTTTAATGTCTTGCTTTAGACACTAAAGTTCTGGCAGTGCTATGAAAGTTATATGGCAGATGACGCTCATCTGTGTGTGTAGATATGGACTGACACACATTAGTACACGCCTATATGAAATCTAGTGCACCTCTAGGCTGCTCTCTCCTTTTTGATAGTATTGCATGTGCCTGTCTTTTCCAATGGAGAATGTAAGCACTTGTCGTCGCCCTCTCTCTCAGCAGTTTGTACAGACAGACAGACAGATGCTCCATCTGCAAGTCAGAGTCGATGCCTTCAATGCCCTTTGTGCCATTCAAATAACAAGCCTTGTTCGGCTTATGTCACAAAATGTGGTAACAATAATCCTCCCATCAGAGCATCTTCTCATAAACGGTTCCCTGTTGTGGAAGAAATTTAATGTTGTGCTCTTACAGAAAACAAAATCTTGTGATTTAAACATTTTTTAAAGGTGCTGTAAGTGAAATCAACTTCTTGTCCCTACTTGCAGTTAGCGGTCCCCTCCTTCCTCCCCACATCACCACTCTGAAACTCTGCTGCCTGCCTTTAAGGACCGCCTCTGCCTTTTCCCCCAAGGCAGTGAGGGCTGGTTTGGAGCCAGTTTCTAATCTCAAACCAGTTATTTACATTTCAACATCCAAAGAACCGGTTCTTGTCAGCAAAACAGGTTCCAACGCGGGACCAACACTTTGCTAGTTTAGAACCAAGAACCGCTTCCAACCAGCAGTATATTTATTAGCTGTTACCACAGATGTTATAAATGTAACATTGAGCTAGCTGGCTAGCTAGTTAGCTGTTTGTCAGCTAACATTGACTAAGCAAGACTGGCTACTAATTTCTCTCATTAGTGTTTAATTTGTAACATTATTCATAACTGTGATGTAATGCTCGAGGTTAGTAACACTGACGTGAGCAATTAGCAGCGATGCGTGCTTGGGTCATGTTAGTTGACCAGCAGCTAGCTAGCTAGTGAGCTAGCATAACCCTTGGTTACAATAGCTAACATTGGAGACGTGTACAGGGACGTAATGACGTGGCTCTCTAGCAAACCGGTTCTTAGAAGTTTTTCGAGTTGAACCAACTCTGGACCGGCACCCAGAACTAGCCTAGGTTCTCATTGGTGGAAAAAAGGTATTTTGTGGAGTTCTCTCTGCTGATTGGATAAAGTGGGGACAGGATACCAGAGAATGTATTCTGTTTACTGCAGGAAGGAGGGACTTAGAGACCCATGTCACTGACTGAACACTATATATCAGTGATGGCTGTCGGAATGTAGAGCTATGTAACTCTTATTTTAACAAACACCACTTACAGCAGCTTTAATAGATCTACATGTACTTAACCCCCCTGAAGCTCTCAGTGAGATGCATCAGCAGGATGCTTTGCAGATTGGGGTGTCTGTCTACTCTTCTACATTCTCCCTGTATTATATGTATGAATGTGTGTGAGTGTGTTTGTATGTGTGTGTGTGTGTGTGTGTGTGTGTGTGTGTGTGTGCAAAGGTTTGAAATAAACGTATGGCCTCAATGTATTGTCTTTTCATAGCATTTACAGATAAGGCAGCAATAGCTCAGCGCAGGAAAATCAAAAAAAAGAAAAAGAAAACATTTATTTAGCTGCTTTTAGCAAACTTGTCCAAATTTCACTGTATAAATGACTGTTAAATGAGAAGAAAGTCATGTATATTTATTTTATATCCTCTATTATAATAAAAATCTCTTTTGTCTCAGTCACTTCCATGTGTACAGTAAGCTGTTAGGAGCGTTGCAGCCACCGATTTGAGTGTTGCTGTCTCTGTTCACCACTTGATGTCACCCAAGGGTGGATGTTCACTGTGCTGGTGCCATTCAGTAACTGAACTCTCTTGCTATTGATTCATCTTAAAAAGATGATTAAGACATTTTTTTTTTAAATGTAATTTTATATTTTTAGAGGGCATGTTTTAACCTACATACTACTGTATAAATCACATATCGCAGCTTACAGTTCTATTGACTGCATTCAAAAGTAAATTCAACTGTAAATGTTAACTTTAATGTTATATGGGTTATTTTAAAAGTTTTTACAAAAACAACTATATTGAAATACATTGTGTACTAAAATGTCATTATTATTATTTTTTTTACTAATGTACTGTAACAGGTGTATAAAGTACAATAGCTTTTCATAGTTGAAGAAGTTGTTTGATAATTTGGGAAAAAATGCTCATTGGCTTTCGTCCAGAGAGTTAGATGAGAGGGTACCATTCTCATGTTTAAATTAATATTAAATAGCTGGAGCATGAAGACTGGAAGCGACCGGCTCTGTCCAAAGGTAAAAATATGATTCACCTACCAGCACCTCTTAAGCCCTTAGGCTGTGACAAAATGATTTCAACAGAAGACCCACTTACTAGGTTTTTGGAGCTTTCAACCACATCTCACGGTCTTACCGGTTCAAGTCATCACATGAGCCTGGAGAACTTAAGTGGTTGTAAATGTGGGAGATGGTAATTATCCTCAAAAGTGGCCTTTGGAGTTTGATGTTAATGGTCTCCTTGATCTGTCTCCGGTCATCCACTGGTTCCACTGCCTTCCCAGCTAGTAAGTGGACTTTTTGACTTGAGCTTATTCCATCACACATAGACAAAACATACTTTATAACATACATGAACCTCTAATGGTACGCCATGCAGGTAGTTTTGGTTTTATTTTTCCAGGTTTTGAGATATCTGTCACTGAGATTCCAGCTTGCACCCCAATACAATGAAGGTAAATAGAACTTAGCTTGTGGTGGTCACTGCACTTAAAAGAGACATTTAAAATAAATAATGTACTCACAGTAAGTGTGTTCAACCTCTATAGGAACAAGAACTAGATGTCATAAATTCTATGTACATCCCTTGCAAACAACAGTGGTTACATTTTAATTTGGACCTTCTTCCAATTGAAACATTGAATTATCCAGAATAAGTGGGGCATTTTAAAAACATATTGCTGCTGTGATAAAATCTCACATAGAAATATCAAAACCTGGGGAAATAAACCAACCCAATCCAATTGTCTAGATACTTTTCTGTAATTTGGGTGAACCAGCTCTTTAATGCACTTGCGTACTGCCCAGTAACAAGCTGCCCAGCAACAAGCTTTTGCACTTTTGCAGTTGTACCTTCCAGACAGCTACTGGCTTCATTAATGGCAGGAAATACAACTTCCACAGACTTAAAAATTCATAGAGAAAGGTATCCATCATAGTGAACATATAGTGAGCAAATAATGGACACTTTGCAAGATTCATTTAAGTGCCAAAACTCAGAAAACCAAAACATGTAGCACTGATGCAGCAGAACCTACACATACTGATACCACTTCAATCAGATTTCTAGAGACTTAAAGGTCTAGTGTGTAACATTTAGGAGGCTCTATTGGCAGAAACTGAAAATAATATTAATAGGTATGTTTTAATTTGTGTACAATTACCTGAATAAGTATTGTTGTGTTCTGTAGATTAAAAAAACAACTAATTTCATTACCTTTTTATCTACAGAGAAAGTGTGTCCTCTTCTATGCGATCTGCCATGTTTCTACATCAGATCAGAAGGTACAAACATTTTGTGTTTTTCACGAGTTTCACGGTGATGTAGTTTCTCCTACAAGCTTGGAAGGCTGAGTCGTATTCAAATGGCTGAATCTGCAACTTCACCACTAGATGTCACTGAATCCTACACACTGGTCCTTTAAAGACTGCATGTACTGCATAAAGTGAACTTGTCCCTGCTATTGACCCTACTGCTGTTGTAAGGTTACACACACACTCATTACATAGGAGTGTGTGTTTGGATGATTTGAACACGTCTATCCACCGTCAGGACATTCCACAAGATGCGTCAAGTAAGTGCTACATTCAGTTCTCTTTATGGGCTCATGGTTTGACAAGTGAAACCAGTGCGGGCAAGCTGAGACTTGGCATCAACCTCACGACTTCTGGCAGAGGCACTGGATCGACAGCTCAGCCTGCAGTGTTACTGCTACCACTTGAAGGAAATTTATGACTTGAAAAGAGCTCAGCAGAGTGCACAGATGATCCCATTTCCTACTCTCTCTCCAGGTGCTGCTGCTCGGGTCGGCTACTGAGGAACAAGCACCCCACACATATAGACCATAACCCGGACCCTAACAGGTGTTACACTGGATATTCAACAGTAGACAGAGAACAGACTTTCTCTGCTCTTTGGAATATGTGCCACCACATTGCCTGTCATACCTGTACTGTAGAAGATAAATTGCTCTAAACAAGTCCTGAGGTTGCCATTATAGTGCTGAAAGGAGATGTTTTGATCTAATTAGAATTAATAGGATAATTTAGTTTGGTTTCTTTTATCTATTACACCATTCAGTACCGTACCTACATGCAGCTACATGCAACTGACAGAACATTTACATGTACATTTGCCTTGCAACTACTTTCTATCAAACATGCGTCACAGCATGTGCTGTGGAATATTTTTATAGTAACCAGACAAATATTTCTGTAAAATCATGTTGCTGTTTAATTTTTAAATGTCATTTTCTAATGTTGTTAGCACCATAAACAAAATTCTAGTCACCTCCACTGTATTGTACTGTTGGCAGAAACACATACCTCAACAGTCAGAAGTGAGGGTAGTCAGAAGAGTCAGAAGTATGGGTAGTTTTATTGATGCATGGCTTATTTTCTGCCCAGTTAACACCATTTAAAACACCAATATGAACTATTGACACATTAGAAATTAGTTTATACTGTAAGTTAGAAGATATCTTAAATATTCATGATGAATCTCACATAGCAATTCATTTTACAAAAGAACTTCCTCTATAGTATTTTAGAATAAAACATGTATAAACGTATACTTTACATGTCATTTTGAGAAATAAAATAAATAAAAAATATTAAATGCAGATTCAAGAAGATTTTTGTATTTGTGCAGACTTGAGCATGGATTATTCCTCTGCTCAGGGGTTATATTGAGTTAAATGAGTTTACAGTAATACAGTACCAGTCGCCACTTCTGCCTCTCACTCTGTTGACCAGACTGCTGCCTGGCGTGGGATGTTTGACGGATGTCTCAGTGTACTCCTCCTCCTCAGACAAAGTTGTGTGGTGGAGATAGTGTTTGTGTTTTCACCAGCCCAGTCGGAGTGGGAAACTACAGAATCAGAATAAGTAGAATGGTGCAATTGTAGTCAGTGCAGCAGTTTTTAAAGAGTACCTAATCTCAAAATGAAAATTCAATCATTGTCTGCTTCTTACCATGTCAAACACCCCTCACCAGGAGATTACTGTTAGCCTTTTCCATAAACTGCTGGAATTCAAATGGCTTTTGGGGCCTAAATCAAGAGTCTCAGATAGCTGCATTAAAGTAAAACATTGGCCACATTATCTCCATTTTTTTTCCCCAGCGGCAAAGCTGGGGGGTGCTTGTTGCTTTACTTTTACGAGTCATAACTTTCACCAGCGCTCTGTAGGGAGCCACAGTTCAGTCATTCTGCTATGGAACACTAAAGATAAATCTGTGCAATTGTAATGGATATTTTCTTTTCTTTTAAGCTGTAAAAAGATGAACCAGTTGGCAAGAAGGTCAAGAGGAAAGGCTAGCATTCAGTTTGCTGGTACCACAAATGTCCAGTTGATTGAGTTTTCATGTGAAATGTAACCATTACCAAAGGGTTATTTAGCTTTCCTGTGATACATTAGATAGCTAATAAACAAGAGTCCACAGACATACTAGAAACACAGTGAAGCTGTTAGTTAAAAACCAATATATGTATGTCAACATACGCTCAAAAACAATACTAACATTAAGATGTTAAGCATGTTCACCATCTTAGTTTAGTATGTTAGCACACTGCCATGAGCAAACTAGCTGTAAACACAAAGTACACTTGTTCTCCGTGTCGCTTACTCACTATTACTGTCAGATGAACAACTTGTGTATCCAAAATGTCTTTTTTCCAGGATCAGTGAAAATCAGTGTTACCCTGACCAACCTTTTCTTGATAACATTCAGAAGATTCAATAGTGATGGTAAAGATGTTTTCATTGAACACTGTATTGTAAATTGTCTTGATTTTAAACTGTCTAAGGCTTGATCCACACTCTCTTTTAAGTGACATTTCCAGCTATTTATCCATTATCAGGATGATAGCAGCCATTTTTACTTTGCCACAATAGATGACTGAGCAGTCTACGTGTCCTTTCTATCCACTGCAGTTCTAGTGGGAAAGTTCCGGACTCATCCACAGAGTGTCAGTTTGACCTTAAGGGTAGGAGATCGGTGTCTGGAGCTCCGCCATCACACCACTCACTCCCAGTCTGCTCTCAGAGCAGCCTCCAACCACAACTTGATGCTTACACTCCACAGACCTTGACATTTCAATTGCCTCTTAGTAATAAACTCTCCACTCTGCTCAAAAACAGGCCCAGACTGTGTTTGTGTCGTTATCTGTTACCTCCTATTGAGTTCAATGCAGTTCTAATTCTAATTCTAATTCTAATTCTAATTTTCATATGTACAATAACTTGTTATTTTAAAGATGCCATCAGAAAGGTTGATCTAATATCTTTATATATATATATATATATATATATATACTGTCAGGTGAAAATCTCATATTTCCAAAATGTCTTCAGGATCAGTGAAAAACAGCCTTGTGGTTACCCTGAGCAACCTCGGTTCTTAGCTAATACAATAGTTTTAGAGGGAAGGGGATGACACACAGCAAAGGGCCACAGCTCTGAGTCAAACCCATTCTCTCCCCTGGGGACCTCAGCTCTGTTAAGCCACTAGATGAATACGTTAAAGACATAAACAACTTAACGTCACACAACTTCCCACAGCGTTACAATGACAAAACCAAATCCCACAAATGCAAACTGGACCAAAGCAAACTAAACATTGATAATTCCAGGACCACTGTGTCTTGTATAACAAAATCCACTCTTATATAATTACTTATACTATAGTTATTTTAAGTCTCTATTAAGTCTAACTTCTCTGACATGTTTATCCAAGATGATCAGACCTGTTAGGTAAATTGGCTTGAGCCTTCTGGTTTTTAAGGGTTAGATCTAAAGTGGGTAGAACAACTTTTGGTTTTAGTGGCTGGAATAAATTGCATTAGATGTGCTCCAACATTAATGGATTGGATTAAGAGGAGCGTAATTATATGTGCATCACATGTAGCTGCAAGGCTATTTGAAAACAGCAGAGAAGAAAAATACTTAAAAGTCATACATTTATTTAGATGGACAACTTTTCAACCCATTTTGGGTCTTTGTAAAGTCCAAATTTTTAAAACTGATTTTAAATGTTTTTAAAATTATCCAAAAGGAAACAATAAAATATTGGACATGACAAAATAAACATTAAAAGCATAAAGCAATTAGATCTGCATTCATATCATTTATTTCTTTTAAACATGCACTTATATACATATATTATCCTTGAGACTATATGAACTATTAACAAGAAGCTAAACTGTAAATATTTCTAGATTTACAAAATGTAAATATAAAATTTGATATTTATGAGATATTTTAATATACTTGGTCTATTTGATGTTTCTCCGTGTGATTATTTTCATTGGGTCTGAGTCAACGTGCAGGCGTTACTCTTTTCTTCACCAGTTTTGTAAGTTTGACAGCAAAACATCTTTGTGCTCTCTTTGTCCCCTCCTGTCCTTGGAGCTTGTTAGCACTGGAACGGCTGCACAACCCACTCCAAATGGCCAGTGGACAAGCACAGAAGTTTGCTTAAGAGTAGAATAATGACTGGAGACCCACTGCAGAGCTAAATCTAAACTGCTGACCCATGACAAGTTGTCCTCAGACCGTGAGAAACGGGCCTCTTTCCATGCCAAGAATGTGGGTGGCCGGCCTTGTTGCTCCAAAAAGCCTTTCTGAGGAGTGTGGCCAGTTGCAGTGCAACGGCAGGTTTTTCTGTTTGATTTCTTGCAGGCAGGCTGCTGTTGTTATGTGCACATGTTGCCCTTTTTTTATTTGTTTTATTTGCCTTCAGACAAACCACACTGTCATTCTTGTAATCCATGTCTGTGTACAGCATGTACAAAGGGAAATGGAGCCAGTAGAGTGTATGTGTGTGGATGAGGGTGGCTGGTGGAAGGGGGCTGTAATTCCACACAGAGTCCACTTCCACTTGTTAGGCAGCTTGTGAAATGAGACCAAAACTGGAAAAGGGATAAAATGCAGCCCACATTCACGAGGTTAATTCATTGGAAATTCCTTCGGATTTTGATTCTGCTTTTCTTGCTTTTTTTTGCTGATTCACTGGCCTGACACACACACACACACACACACACACTACTAGCACATCACAAAGAGTATAAGGCATTGTGTAAAGTAATGAATACTCTGTGAGAGCACTGGTCACAGAGGATAAGAGGCTGCACTGTGCTGTCAGTTTGCTGCTCACACTGAAGGGGATTTCAGCTCCCCGGGCTTCAAACCCAGAGTCAAGGGGTCACGGTCTGTGCAAGATAGCAGGGGCCACAGTTTGTGTGTGTGTGAGTAACTGTGTGTGTGAGTCACTGCGTTACGCCGACACACGAGACGCCATATGTTTCCACCCAGTCCACTGAAGAACAAATGCGCAGTCCTTTTTCATGAGTTCCCAAAAGCGTCTGTTTTCTCACTCTACCCATGTGTGGGTTAATGCAGCAAGAAGCAGTGCGCGGGAGACGTGGTCCACATCAATTATGTTGTAAAACAAGAATTAAATGTGTCCCACCTGTTTATGGTGTCCATGCAGAATGAAAAAAAAGGGTCTAATTTAAAAAGTGGGCGCAAGACTTGCAAGTGGAGAACGGAGGGTTCTTCCTGGAGGACATGATGATTTCTCGGTGGACAGAAAAGGCCTTTGAAGAAGTATTTTGATCATGTGACATTAAAAACCCTCACTTGAAACCAATACCAATGAAATCCCATAACTCCCTGAGGACTTGAATTGTGTAGCTTCAGCAACCAACCCATGGCAGGAATTTTTTATTGTCAAAACAATATTTTTTATGGCATAAGAATGTTTTACAGTTTCTGTCCTTCAGACACAAATTCCATTTTTGACTGCTTTATTCTCGTAACAAAATGGTCATGATGGGGCTTCAACTCTAAGTGTTCTAATCCCTATCAAATTTCCATTTTAAATTTGTTGTACATCTGCTACAGTATGTATTTTACATGTAATGTGTGAGAAGAATTAAAGCAAATGCTGCGTTTTTAATGGTACGTTGTAAGTTTGAAAGTTAATATATGATCTTTGAAACCCTGAAAAGTAATTTCTTCAAGAAAATCTTCTCACGGTAAACTTTTTTTAGCTTTCAACTGCATCTCATGGTCTTCCTCAGCAGAGTTTGCGCGGTTGCCATTGAGTGTAAAATGCTAAATCAACGGGGGGGAAAAAGTAACAGGACTGAGAGTCTACAGTTAGGCTCCGTGAGACTACTCCAGCACAGCAATGCTCACAATGAACATGCTGATGTTTAGCAGATACAAAGTTTACCATGTTCATCATCTTAGTGCACATGTACCCAATTTCATGGCAGTCCACTTCAACATGTGTCAGGATATTTCACTGTAAGCCACAAATGTCTACCTCATCATGACCACGGTCAATAAAGTGGAAAACTGTGCGTTCCACATTGGTCGGCGTGGTGTGTACCGCTCCAGAACTCTGGCCCCCTTAGCTACAATGCTAATGTTACTAGCAGTAGATTGCTACATTTAGCTAGATCTGCATGATGATATTTTGCCATGTGAATAGCATGTCTGTTTTGTCTGGTTTTGATATGAGGCCAATTAGTTATTGTTCAACTCTGGAAATTCAGAAACACCAGTTATTCGTTTTTCGTCCATCTTTCAGTTCAAGCAGTGGTCAGCAGCGATTGGCTGTGCCCTCAAAGGTCAGTGCAGCTCAGGTCAAAGTTCAACAAATTTGAGCTTTTGGTGCACCCCTGCTCCACTTGACTCATCACGGACATCTGTGCAGAGTGGCGCAACACCCCACATACACAGTAATGGAAGACGCACGATACATTCTCTGGAAAACATGAATGTCTGTACAGAATCTTAGTTTTCAATAGTTGCTGAGATATTTCAGTGTGGACCAAAGTGGTGGACCGACCAACTGACAGACCATCTGTCACTGCGGTCCCATAGCTTTGCTAAAAATATAACACAATGCTAATACCAAAAACTGGAAAAATAATGACTGGCTGTAAAACCACATTGGTGCACTTTCAATAGCTACCTGGCAGCTCTTCCTCTGTCTAAGTGGTCGAGCAAAGTGTGTTTACAATCCTCCAATGAGGGAACACATCGTGTTTGGGCTTCACTTGCCAGATTTTGCCACTCAGCCTTTTAGGCTTGCCTTCCAGCATTTGGCCTACAGACCTTGTGCACTGTAGAAAGTACTGCAGGCCCAATCTTATCTGGGCCACTGTTTGCAATGTCGGATTGCTTCAGAACAGATATGAAATAGAAGCCTTTGTTTTACAAAACAAAGGAGTGTGATACATTTTTAAAAGTTTATGTGCAGACAGTGGCACACAATCATCCACACTTTGTATCTGTCAGTCCTCTAATCTTGTCTGACCAATATGTAAGCCAAGAACTGCCATTTTTAAATGTTATTATCTTGAGATCACAGGGTAATTTTCTATGTCATATGGAGAAAATGTGATTTGTTATCTCGAGAAAAGGAGACAACAAAAGGTTGTTTCCTCTCATTACTTTTATGAGAGATCACGAGTGCCATGCCAGCGTGCACAGATGGCGTATTATAGATGTAGCTTGGGTCACAGTGACAGTGCCAGTTTTTTTTCCATACTGACCAAAATGAGCCAGCAGCCAGAGAAGAGCACGAGAAGAATCTGGACAATGCAGCGATCTTTGAGCTCATTTAATAAATCTCCATCTTTAATATATTACATATAATATGCATATTGTTTGTCAGTATTGCATCACATTGCCAGGAATTGAATACCTTAAATGAACTCTCAGATATAGCTACACTCTGGTAACAACTTTTTCAGTTTAGTTATGAATCCCCCCAACAGTTGCAACAGTAATCCTGAAGGCTGATGAACCAGACGCTCATTTTGAAGTTCTCTATAATCATCCTGTGATCTCAGGAAAACAAATTTTTTTTTAAAATGATCTCTTCATCTCGAGAAATCTGCCTTTTGTTTTCTTAAGATAACAAGATAAATCAACTCATGATGTCAATATAACGGCATTAAATATAAATTGCAAGTCTTTCCATCCTAGCCTTCTGTAGATGAATGAGTCATTTCAATCCCTATGAAGGCGCTCACAGATGTTCTGATCACTTGCAGTTAGCACCAACAAGATCCACAGTATCTGCTGAGCAAAAGAGATGTGTTCATTTTGAGTCAGAGAAGACAACAGACTGAACTTTAAAGACTACATGCAACATGCTCTACTAACCCTATACCAATCTCCTCTGAGAGCATTTCACACTAAAGGACAACAAAGGCAGAAACTCTATGATAGTTTCTCTCTCTGGACAGAGCACTAACACGCTGCTGTAAACTAGACAGTTTGTGTTTCACACTCCAGTATGAAATGTGTTGTTTTCTTTGGGTGGAGAAGTGTTAATACCCCACACCAAAATTCTGTTTGGCCAAAAATAGCGAATCTACAAGGTGTCAGTGAATGATAAGAAGAAACTGCTATCTGCCAGCCCTACTTTGTGATTTTGGCCAATTAGACATGGCTACCAACCTGGCTGGTCTGTTCACTGTGAACCAGACAGACAGCAAACAGACCATTTTCCTTGCCAGTTCCAGCAGAAAGAGAGTTGTCTCTCAGTAGCTCCAGAATTTGCTTTGAATCCATAACACTGAGACTAAAAATGTTGAAAAATCTAGCATTTGCCGACTCCAGCAGTAAGAATTCCTGCTTAAAGGTCATTCCACTGGATTGGTCCTTCGGCTGGAGGGTCACTCCCCTGCCGAGGTGTCCTTCAGCAACACAATGAATGCCTACTACTATCTTCAGGGTGGGTGCTCTGTAACTGACCTCTGATCTTCAACTTGTAAACTAGATCAATATCGTATATCATTGACATTGTAGGCACTATCCCAACAGTCAGACTAGTATTGTTTAATTATCTAACTTTTCCTGCATAGTTTTCATTCCAGTCACCTTAAAAAACCCTGGGCAGCATTTTTGGACATTTCTGCACAAAACTGTTAACAATGCTTTCGTTGTTAAAGAATAGGAATATTGTACATATATACATTGTACATAAATGTTAGGATTTTTTTGACTTTAATGTTTTCTATGCTTTAATGTGAAAACATCCTTCTAGTGTCCAGCTCTGCACATACATCATTCTGCACAGTGAAGCTCAAACACTGTAGGAATAAGAAGAAAAACATACTTTTGACTGGAGGAGGACTTTAAGTATAATAACCTTGACCTGGTTCTGAAAACATCAACTGAGTCTTGTTTTTCCCCTTTGTTTGCATCTTCTGCAGCAGCAGGCTACTCTGCTCATTTTGCAATCACAACTTTCTCCTCCCTCCCTCAGCACAACTTTTGGGAAGCTGAAAAAAGAAAAACAACTCTTCTTCTCGCGATAGTAGCTTGCTTATGCAGCCGCCATATTCTGTGACAGTATTTTGATTCGTATCTGCTGGAAGTGAGGAAAAAGAGAAAAGTGAAGGGCTGTCGAGGGGAGGGGGGGGCTGAAGAAGAGGAGCTGTCAAAAAGGTATTCCCGAGTCCCTGTCAAACGGCGGAAGGCTGAGACTCGGTATCCCTCCCCTAACGCTACTTCGAGGACACACAAGGCCCGGGGCCTCGGTGCAGTTGGCTCTTCGTCTCCCTGGTAGTAGCTGGACCCTTCTCGGCTTCTCCTCTCCGAGCTCCGCGGCCCTCTGGAGGTCCGGCGGCGGTCTCGGGTGTTGAAGGCGGCCCGGGGAGCGGCGGCGGTGGCAGCGGAGACGGAAAGGTAAGTTCCAGTAAGTTCCAGTAAGTTAACTAGGCTTTCGCCACTTAGCAGAAGCCGGAGGAATACAGTTTTAATAGCGTTACTGTGAAATGAAAAGGCGTTCGAGCGCCTTGTGCGACAAGCGCTTTCACACACCGTGCCATTCTGTTTGAAAGAAAATGGAGAGAAAAAGTTTTCAGATGTGGAAAAAGTTTTTGTCCACAGCAAGCAGCTAGCTGAGTTAGCTAACTTGAAGTGTTTGGAGGCTGTTCCCGTCTCGGCCGAGTTGGCAAACCACTGTGTAAAGTTTAAAACACCTTCGTAACCTCTCCCCAAAGTCCACTTTAATATTAATATCTGTAAATATATATTAGGGGTCTTTTTATTTTAGCATAACGCTGGCTGGCGCTACATGTTTTGTAGCCCATGTTAGGCTACTTTTTCCATTGAGCTCTCCTTTGAAACGTCGCAAGACCAGTCGTGGATGGAAACGTTAAATCATACAATTGTAGCTTCACTTAACTTCACACACGGAGTATTTTATCTCCAACAAGCCTCTAAATGAAGCACCTCAAGTAGCTGTTTATCCCTTTGCTCCAACACTGAAACTATTTTTTGTGTAACATAGAAACTAAACTCTTATTAGTAACCCAGCTGGCTAGCCAGATTGGTACAGTTGTGTGTCTACATCAGAGGATTTATCACAAGTAAATGTCTTCTCTATATGTATCCTGTCATTTTTATAGTAAGACCATGTAAATAAAGCTTCTGAGGGTTGACTGGGGACATTATAGTGTTGCACAACTGCAGCCAAGTTAACCTAAAGGAGACACACAAAACTAGTGTTTTCAGAAAAATAAGGTGATGAGTGAGTCACTTCACCTGTTTGATATCTTTCCGACATTGTCCCTCTTGGATCGGATGTTCCCTGTTTGTGGCAGTTGAGATGGAAACTTATCAGGGGGGTGGTTCTGAGCCTTTGCCAGCCAAAATGACAGCTCAGTTGTTGTTGTTTGTATTCTTGGTGTAGTTAAGATGAGATATGTTTATTGTGAGATAACCTAACCTGTCATGATTAAGACTTTTCTCTCCTGGTGTATTTGTTCTTGCGAAGCCACTAAAGGTGCCAGGATGGGCTGGGAGCCACAGGTTGCAACATCTGACCTATTTTTTATTTATTTTTTTGCTTGTTTGTCTGTCAGGTAATGGGAAAACAAGAGACATGGAAGTTGTTTCAAAGATTTGATGGAACATGTAAAATATGCATGTTCACAGAAGATCTTTGATTCGTTGCTTGTTGGTTGTTTTCTTGCAGTCCAAATTGATTTTAATCATGGTGATTGTAACCAAATGTAACTCATATATTACTGCTTGATGACAGGTATTTTTTTATTGGAGTGTGTAGTTATAAAGCCTCTTTCAATTCATGCTAGCATTTGGCCATTTGTGGTGGTCCACGTCTTGGCACAGTGAAAACCCCTCTGGGTGTGTTGAAAGTGTGTTTCTCCATGTTGTATCACTTAGGCTGGGCTTCATATTAACACCAGCCACCAGTCAAAATGATGCAAAATGTTGGTTGTGGCTGGAAAGTCTGTCAGCTCTACCAGCCAGTTTGGCAGGTAATCAACCTGTGTCCAATGTAGTGTTTTTATTCTGGAACTGGCAGCTAATAAATGGAATTTGCTCTTTGAAGACTTGTATCGACATTGTGACATAGAAGTTCGATTTTCACTTTGGTGTAGTTAAAATTCACACATTAGTACAACCTACCTGACTGCGGTTTTTAAGATCCAGGCTTCTTATTTTACTCTCTATCCTCAGCAGACGTCGGCTGACTCTGCTTTGAAACGCTTGAGTTTATTTACAACTCTAAAGAGCTCAGAATCACTTCTCTGTCGAGCCTCTAAACACCTTCAATCTAAACTGTGTTGTCAAAGGTAGACTGCAAGAGTGTATATCATTCATTAGCAACTTGTGCCTGTCTTGACTTGCAGTCAACATTGCACTTCCTGACCAATAAGCTGCCATGGCCAACTGTTTATAGGTGCAGACCCCTAACTGAAACCATGTGTGCCTGTAGCTGGGCAAATATGTTGCTAGGAGGCCTTACTGATTTGCCACTCTTCGGAGACTCAGCAACGAATGCTCAGAGCCTGCATGATAAGTCCTAAATCAGGATTTTGGTGAGGATTGTGCACTTGTACACAACAGCAGGCTGCTAATTGCTTTGTTTGGATGTCATTTGGCATCTGCTAACAGGCTAAATCAACACAGTTAAGTGACAGCACAGATTACAGATCTACACTCAGAGTGTGTGACCTGAGGTTCCTTGATGCTTGTTGATGGAGGTGAAGAATTGGGCTCACTTGTTGTGTTTGCTTCCGACAATAAACAAGCAGGACTAACACTTGTGTTTTGAGAACTTGTACAACGAGCTGAAGCTGTGGCGTGTTGTCGCGAGGTCTGTGCCAATACTTAAATCTTCTTTCCTGAAAAACCTGTTTCCTGATTTATCATTTGCAGTTTGCACAACAATTTATAACCAGTCAGCACGAAGGGTGGGGGTGTGTAGAAGGATAATTACTGCATATGAGTGTGTTTGGATGGAGTACAAATGCTTGTTGTTTGGATCAACAGTGCAGAGTCAGTTTAACCCAGGAAACAATATTGGCTTACCTTTCTCTTTCTCTGTGTGTCAGAACGGATTCACTGTAAGAGGCTGCAGACTCTACATTAGTGTACTTATAACTTGATACTTGTTCTTTCAGGCAGCCCTGCTCAGTGACCTGCCAACATACATTATTATACAGTGTGTGTTTTTTCAGTGTAAAAGTGTCAGGGTAAGACCTATAATGCCAAATGGGAATCAAGTAGGTGGAAGGGAAGGATCCATCACATTATGCCCAATGCTGCAGACTCAGGAAGAGGGCTTGGTGTTTTTAACCCTCCCCCACTCCAGTGTGTGGCTGTCAGGAAGAGAGGCTCTCATTGGAGCCCCCTCCCCCTGTCCAGCTCTCCTGACTTCTCCGCTTTAAATGGAGTCCTCCATTACACATGCTGCTCATGGTCCTCTCCAGTTCAAGGGTTAAATTGCATGCATCGAGCCTGACACTGCACAGTCCACTACACCTTTAGCTGCCGCCTGCTCAGTGCTTGTTAATTCCACAGTTTGGATTTCGGAGGGTTCGCCTCTTCTGCAGCACTTTGTAGTTGCGCACGATAAAGCTGCATTAATTGAACTTTTTTGGCCACTTGGAGGCAGAAGAACTTAACAAGTTGACAAACCAACCTTAAAACATTCTGACTTTCTAATTGCCTGTTTACACACCCAGTAAACACTGCATTAGCATTCATTTGGGGTTTTTTTGGTGGCCGTGAAAAGTGCAAGAGGCCCTATCTAGAGCCAGTGTTTGGTTTGTCCCTTCTGGGCTACTGTAGAAACATGGCGATTCAATATGGCAGACTCCATAGTAGAGGACCCACTCCCTCTGTAAATAAAAACAGCTCATTCTAAGGTAACAAAAAGACAACAATTCTTATATTCAGGATTATACATATATTTATGATTATATACCTATAAATATTATATTCCATTTCTACCAGTAGATCCCTAAATCTTACATACTTAACCTTTTTTAAGCTCTGGTTTGGTCTAGATCAACTCCTGTTAGCAACATCTGGGTCCGTAGTTGGTACATGCTTGACTTTCTATAGCAGCTGGTCACTAACTTTGTCTGTCTATGCTAGTTGGTGTTGGGCAGATATTTAGTTACATTTTGTTTATTATAGCTTGTTTTTCTGTAAACATCTGCCTGCTGCTGGAAAGGGTTGAGGAGAGCTGTGAAACTGAACCACAGAGTAAATTTGATGTTCCCCGCTGGTATGTTTTGGATATTGTCCTAAAATACTGGTGTCTAAGTTCCACACTGTACCTGTAAGGTACTGCTAGTGTGTGCTAATAGACCGGTTTGAAAAAATCTTTAGCTTAACAAAATAAGTCTAAGCATTTAATTTTGTTACCAGCTATGTACCTACATAAAATACAGTATCGATGAATAAAAAGTGATCTAAATCAGACAAAGAATGAGTAGTCATGTCTAATATAACCAAAGTCCATTTCCTTACTGAACAGTTCTGATATTCTATGGACACAGTTTTGTTTGTGCTCTATACCCATCCATAAGTTAGACATTTGTTTAGCAGATGCGATGACAAGCCAAGTTTTATATGTCAAACTGACTAACTGCATAGGTGTTGCAGCAACGCACAGATTAGCTAATACAGATAAGGTAATGAAGATATATGAAGATTAAGTAATGTCTAATAAAAATGTAAAGTGTTGCATCATAAAGATGTGGATCATTTATAAAAGACAGCCGTGACCTTAGCCATTTATATTGAACTAAAACTGACCTATCTCAGTACAGTATTCCATTTTCTTGATCTGGAAAATAAAGAGAAGTGCCACTGACAGTTTCCATTTCAGCTGCTGGGCACAGTGATGTTTCTCCTGAGCTCTCAGTTCCTCAGTTAGTTGTCCTTTATGGTATTTCTCTAGGTAGGCCGCAGATTCTTCTTTAAGTCTTAAAAAGTCAGGTCTTAAGAATTGATTGATTAATGAGGTTGCATTTTTCAGTCTTTTAGAAATCTTTTAAATGTGTTTTTGGGAATATTTGTATTAATCCTGCTGTAACAACCACAAAATGAAATCAACATGGAACCAATACCGATTTTCCTTACTTTAAATTGCATTCATAATGGCCTTTTAAACAGATCTTAAAGTGTCTTTAATGTGACTTGTTGAAACATGCAAAACCCTGTTCTTAGATGTTCCTGTATATTACAATGTGGCTCTTCTCGTCATACGATACATATTTTCAGACACTTACCCTACCAATTGGAAGGTCTAATTTAATGACACTGAGGAAGTAATTTTAATCACGGTTTGCATAACAGAAAACATCCCAGGAATTTTGAAGGGCTATGGTGCCACTCAGGACTTCAGTGATAATGTGTGTGTAATCTTGCTGCCTGATTTGTCAGGGCCTGTGTAGCCTACAATTTGTAGATCCCTGGTAGTAACCCTACCTTCAGTGAGTCGTTCACACTTCAAACTCTGCCACACTGTACAATTCAGGTGAAAGTTTCTGCTCTCGTCATTTAGTTACTGCAGTGCTTTGAGATTCAATTCCACTTTTTTGGCCTCGCTTCTGTCATAATGCCTTTACACCTCTCCCTCTGCAGTCAAACGTATTATCATAGCTCACCTTCCTATTGTCTTGTTACATGCATTAGTGAGCAGGAGAAGAATGAACCACGTCTCACACTGAGACTGTGCTGTCCTCTCTCCCCATCCCTGTGCCCTCAACCTAGGCCCTAGGTTTCATCTCTGATGGCTTTTCTATTCCTCTAAAATCGCTGCCCCCAGCTTCCCTAAACTGATACATCCTCCGTCACAAGCTGCACAGACCTTGAACTGCTTGGGTTGGTCCAATTCCTCAAAACTGTCTAGAGCTTTATTTTAGCACAGTCTTTAGCACAGAAATCCAGGCAGTCAGCTTGGCACAGTGTGAGTGGAGCAGCAGAGGGTTAAATGCCCTGCTTACCTGAGGGTTGGAGAAATTACCTGGCAGCCTTTTGGTCCTGTGTCTTGAAAATCAAGGCTACTGATTCACCATATATATTAGAAATTAATACTATAAAATTATTCCTTTTGATTTTTGTTTTAAAAAATGACACAGAGATCTACCAGAACCAGAATTTAGCCATACACCTGTTTATCCATGGTTATCCATGCACTGTCACCACTTGAGTAGCATGCAACAGGTGCATGACAATGTGATACTGATATCTGTAATAGAATAATACAGTGATGATTCAATCATTAAGTGTGATAGCTATTTTGATGGCTGTTTCAAATTACT